ATCAACTGCATCGAGTCCTCAACCACCCAGCAGCACTTTGGCTCCCCAACAACTGTCTATTCTTCCATTCCAGCTAGCAGCTCTCCATCCACTAGTGTATCCGTTCCAACAACAATTGTTACTTCTGCACCAACTAGCAAACCCAGTTCGTCACGAAGCCCAGTAGTCCAACAACGGTTCAAGTTACTACATCAGTCCCATATGTTTCAAAGTCGCCATCGGTCTCGACTTTATCGCCTACAACTTCGGCACGAATCCCATCAACTGCATCGAGTCCTCAACCACCCAGCAGCACTTTGGCTCCCCCAACAACTGTCTATTCTTCCATTCCAGCTAGCAGCTCTCCATCCACTAGTGTATCCGTTCCAACAACAATTGTTTCGTCATCTGTTACAACGGTTTCGTCAACCAGTCTTCTATCTTCTGTCTTAACTACGGCACCTCCACAACTGCCATCAACTGGATTTGTTATTATCAAGTCATCAACACCTACATCATCAATTCCCAAAGCTCTTTGCTGAAATCATCATCATACGTATTTACCAAACCACCACCCCCTTCATCTTCTGTTCCAAAAACACCATCTACTGCATCGAGTCCTCAACCACCCAGCAGCACTGTGCTCCCCCAACAACTGTCTATTCTTCCATTCCAGCTAGCAGCTCTCCATCCACTAGTGTATCCGTTCCAACAACAATTGTTACTTCTGCACCAACTAGCAAACCCACTTCGTCACCGAAGCCCAGTAGTCCAACAACGGTTCAAGTTACTACATCAGTCCCATATGTTTCAAAGTCGCCATCGGTCTCGACTTTATCGCCTACAACTTCGGCACGAATCCCATCAACTGCATCGAGTCCTCAACCACCCAGCAGCACTTTGGCTCCCCCAACAACTGTCTATTCTTCCATTCCAGCTAGCAGCTCTCCATCCACTAGTGTATCCGTTCCAACAACAATTGTTACTTCTGCACCAACTAGCAAACCCACTTCGTCACGAAGCCCAGTAGTCCAACAACGGTTCAAGTTACTACATCAGTCCCATATGTTTCAAAGTCGCCATCGGTTGACTTTATCGCCTACAACTTCGGCACGAATCCCATCAACTGCATCGAGTCCTCAACCACCCAGCAGCACTTGGCTCCCCCAACTGTCTATTCTTCCATTCCAGCTAGCAGCTCTCCATCCACTAGTGTATCCGTTCCAACAACAATTGTTACTTCTGCACCAACTAGCAAACCCACTTCGTCACCGAAGCCCAGTAGTCCAACAACTGTTCAAGTTACTACATCAGTCCCATATGTTTCAAAGTCGCCATCGGTCTCGACTTTATCGCCTACAACTTCGGCACGAATCCCATCAACTGCATCGAGTCCTCAACCACCCAGCAGCACTGTGGCTCCCCAACAACTGTCTATTCTTCCATTCCAGCTAGCAGCTCTCCATCCACTAGTGTATCCGTTCCAACAACAATTGTTACTTCTGCACCAACTAGCAAACCCACTTCGTCACCGAAGCCCAGTAGTCCAACAACGGTTCAAGTTACTACATCAGTCCCCATATGTTTCAAAGTCGCCATCGGTGTTGACTTTATCGCCCTACAACTTCGGCACGAATCCCATCAACTGCATCGAGTCCTCAACCACCCAGCAGCACTTTGGCTCCCCAACAACTGTCTATTCTTCCATTCCAGCTAGCAGCCTCCATCCACTAGTGTATCCGTTCCAACAACAATTTTTACTTCTGCACCAACTAGCAAACCCACTTCGTCACCGAAGCCCAGTAGTCCAACAACGGTTCAAGTTACTACATCAGTCCCATATGTTTCAAAGTCGCCATCGTCTCGACTTTATCGCCTACAACTTCGGCACGAATCCCATCAACTGCATCGAGTCCTCAACCACCCAGCAGCACTGTGACTCCCCCAACAACTGTCTATTCTTCCATTCCAGCTAGCAGCTCTCCATCCACTAGTGTATCGGTTCCACAACAATTGTTTCGTCATCTGTTACAACGGTTTCGTCAACCAGTCTTCTATCTTCTGTCTTAACTACGGCACCTCCACAACTGCCATCAACTGGATTTGTTATTATCAAAGTCATCAACACCTACATCATCAATTCCCCAAAGCTCTTTGCTGAAATCATCGTCATACGTATTTACCAAACCACCCCCTTCATCTTCTGTTCCAAAAACACCATCTACTGCATCGAGTCCTCAACCACCCAGCAGCACTGTGGCTCCCCCAACAACTGTCTATTCTTCCATTCCAGCTAGCAGCTCTCCATCCACTAGTGTATCCGTTCCAACAACAATTGTTACTTCTGCACCAACTAGCAAACCCACTCACCGAAGCCCAGTAGTCCAACAACGGTTCAAGTTACTACATCAGTCCCATATGTTTCAAAGTCGCCATCGGTGTTGACTTTCGCCTACAACTTCGGCACGAATCCCATCAACTGCATCGAGTCCTCAACCACCCAGCAGCACTTTGGCTCCCCCAACAACTGTCTATTCTTCCATTCCAGCTAGCAGCTCTCCATCCACTAGTGTATCCGTTCCAACAACAATTGTTACTTCTGCACCAACTAGCAAACCCACTTCGTCACGGAAGCCCAGTAGTCCAACAACGGTTCAAGTTACTACATCAGTCCCATATGTTTCAAAGTCGCCATCGGTGTTGACTTTATCGCCTACAACTTCGGCACGAATCCCATCAACTGCATCGAGTCCTCAACCACCCAGCAGCACTTGGCTCCCCCAACAACTGTCTATTCTTCCATTCCAGCTAGCAGCTCTCCATCCACTAGTGTATCCGTTCCAACAACAATTGTTACTTCTGCACCAACTAGCAAACCCACTTCGTCACCGAAGCCCAGTAGTCCAACAACTGTTCAAGTTACTACATCAGTCCCATATGTTTCAAAGTCGCCATCGGTCTCGACTTTATCGCCTACAACTTCGGCACGAATCCCATCAACTGCATCGAGTCCTCAACCACCCAGCAGCACTGTGGCTCCCCCAACAACTGTCTATTCTTCCATTCCAGCTAGCAGCTCTCCATCCACTAGTGTATCCGTTCCAACAACAATTGTTACTTCTGCACCAACTAGCAAACCCACTTCGTCACCGAAGCCCAGTAGTCCAACAACGGTTCAAGTTACTACATCAGTCCCATATGTTTCAAAGTCGCCATCGGTGTTGACTTTATCGCCTACAACTTCGGCACGAATCCCATCAACTGCATCGAGTCCTCAACCACCCAGCAGCACTTTGGCTCCCCCAACAACTGTCTATTCTTCCATTCCAGCTAGCAGCTCTCCATCCACTAGTGTATCCGTTCCAACAACAATTTTTACTTCTGCACCAACTAGCAAACCCACTTCGTCACCGAAGCCCAGTAGTCCAACAACGGTTCAAGTTACTACATCAGTCCCATATGTTTCAAAGTCGCCATCGGTCTCGACTTTATCGCCTACAACTTCGGCACGAATCCCATCAACTGCATCGAGTCCTCAACCACCCAGCAGCACTTTGGCTCCCCCAACAACTGTCTATTCTTCCATTCCAGCTAGCAGCTCTCCATCCACTAGTGTATCCGTTCCAACAACAATTTTTACTTCTGCACCAACTAGCAAACCCACTTCGTCACCGAAGCCCAGTAGTCCAACAACGGTTCAAGTTACTACATCAGTCCCATATGTTTCAAAGTCGCCATCGGTCTCGACTTTATCGCCTACAACTTCGGCACGAATCCCATCAACTGCATCGAGTCCTCAACCACCCAGCAGCACTGTGACTCCCCCAACAACTGTCTATTCTTCCATTCCAGCTAGCAGCTCTCCATCCACTAGTGTATCGGTTCCAACAACAATTGTTTCGTCATCTGTTACAACGGTTTCGTCAACCAGTCTTCTATCTTCTGTCTTAACTACGGCACCTCCACAACTGCCATCAACTGGATTTGTTATTATCAAGTCATCAACACCTACATCATCAATTCCCCAAAGCTCTTTGCTGAAATCATCGTCATACGTATTTACCAAACCCCACCCCCTTCATCTTCTGTTCCAAAAACACCATCTACTGCATCGAGTCCTCAACCACCCAGCAGCACTGTGGCTCCCCCAACAACTGTCTATTCTTCCATTCCAGCTAGCAGCTCTCCATCCACTAGTGTATCCGTTCCAACAACAATTGTTACTTCTGCACCAACTAGCAAACCCACTTCGTCACCGAAGCCCAGTAGTCCAACAACGGTTCAAGTTACTACATCAGTCCCATATGTTTCAAAGTCGCCATCGGTGTTGACTTTATCGCCTACAACTTCGGCACGAATCCCATCAACTGCATCGAGTCCTCAACCACCCAGCAGCACTTTGGCTCCCCCAACAACTGTCTATTCTTCCATTCCAGCTAGCAGCTCTCCATCCACTAGTGTATCCGTTCCAACAACAATTGTTACTTCTGCACCAACTAGCAAACCCAGTTCGTCACCGAAGCCCAGTAGTCCAACAACGGTTCAAGTTACTACATCAGTCCCATATGTTTCAAAGTCGCCATCGGTCTCGACTTTATCGCCTACAACTTCGGCACGAATCCCATCAACTGCATCGAGTCCTCAACCACTCAGCAGCACTGTGGCTCCCCCAACAACTGTCTATTCTTCCATTCCAGCTAGCAGCTCTCCATCCACTAGTGTATCCGTTCCAACAACAATTGTTACTTCTGCACCAACTAGCAACCCACTTCGTCACGGAAGCCCAGTAGTCCAACAACGGTTCAAGTTACTACATCAGTCCCATATGTTTCAAAGTCGCCATCGGTGTTGACTTTATCGCCTACAACTTCGGCAGGAATCCCATCAACTGCATCGAGTCCTCAACCACCCAGCAGCACTTTGGCTCCCCCAACAACTGTCTATTCTTCCATTCCAGCTAGCAGCTCTCCATCCACTAGTGTATCCGTTCCAACAACAATTGTTACTTCTGCACCAACTAGCAAACCCACTTCGTCACCGAAGCCCAGTAGTCCAACAACTGTTTCAAGTTACTACATCAGTCCCATATGTTTCAAAGTCGCCATCGGTCTCGACTTTATCGCCTACAACTTCGGCACGAATCCCATCAACTGCATCGAGTCCTCAACCACCCAGCAGCACTGTGGCTCCCCCAACAACTGTTTATTCTTCCATTCCAGCTAGCAGCTCTCCATCCACTAGTGTATCCGTTCCAACAACAATTGTTACTTCTGCACCAACTAGCAAACCCACTTCGTCACCGAAGCCCAGTAGTCCAACAACGGTTCAAGTTACTACATCAGTCCCATATGTTTCAAAGTCGCCATCGGTGTTGACTTTATCGCCTACAACTTCGGCACGAATCCCATCAACTGCATCGAGTCCTCAACCACCCAGCAGCACTGTGGCTCCCCAACAACTGTTTATTCTTCCATTCCAGCTAGCAGCTCTCCATCCACTAGTGTATCCGTTCCAACAACAATTGTTACTTCTGCACCAACTAGCAAACCCAGTTCGTCACCGAAGCCCAGTAGTCCAACAACTGTTCAAGTTACTACATCAGTCCCATATGTTTCAAAGTCGCCATCGGTCTCGACTTTATCGCCTACAACTTCGGCACGAATCCCATCAACTGCATCGAGTCCTCAACCACCCAGCAGCACTGTGGCTCCCCCAACAACTGTCTATTCTTCTATTCCAGTTAGCAGCTCTCCATCCACTAGTGTATCCGTCCCAACAACAACTATTTCATCTGCTCCGTCAAGTGTATTTTCGTCTTCAGTTGTACGGAGTTCAACAATCACTCGATCACGACCGACAACAAGTGTTTTTTCACCAAGCATATTCATACCCTCGTCATCTAGCAGTATATTCACACCGAGTACCAGTATTTTCAGTCCACCTCCTCCCTCAAGTTCTGCTCCAATTTCAATCCCTACCAGTTCACCATCGTCCCCGTCATTTAGTAGCCGTTATTCACCCTCACCGTCCTTCAGCACACCAGCTTCCAGTGGTCCGTCTTTGAGCAGTAGCAGCATTTCCGTTCCATCGTCCGTAATCACCTCACCAATTACTTCCACTTCGAAGCCAAGCGTCTCTGTTATCACAACTTCCCCGATCGTGTCCAGCGTTCCTTCGTCTATTCGTCCTTCATCGCCAAGTCCGTCTAGTAGGCCTTCTGGTGAGTTTACCTTTTGAAGTTTTCCTTTAAGAATATGGATTTAGGTGACAATTACAAAAGTAGTGGAAATGGTTTTCTTTTTGGCGTAAGTTCCTACTAGCTTGTGGTGATAAACCCTTGGTATCTTTTATCTTTTAATCATTCCGCTTTCTGAAGACAATTTGATTAGGTCGGGTGGGGGTCTTTTGTGTTGTATTGTGAAATATTGATCTCTATTTTTTTTTTTCGTCGTAGCATCTGTGAGTGTATGCCCCAGCTGCTTCTACAAAGGGAACTTTTATCCGGTACGTTTTTTACCCCCTGAATCCTGGGGCCAGTTGTATTAAAGACTAGGTAACTTTTAACTGTAGTTAAGAACAGACCTGGTCAATCAGAATCGTGTATTTCTGAGTTAATAACTATAGGATTTAACTATGCAAAATGTAGTTGAATAGTTTGATACAACCGGCCCCTGATGTATAAAAGACTAGTTACTTGTAACTGTAGTCAAGAACAGACTTGGCCAATCAGAATCGAGTATTTCTGTGTAGTCAAGAACAGACTTGGCCAATCAGACTCGAGTATTTCTGAGTTAACTATAGGATTTAGCTATGCAAAATGTAGTTAAATAGTTTGATACAACCGGCCCCTAGCTGATGTATAAAAGACTAGTTACTTGTAACTGTAGTTAAGAACAGAATTAGCCAATCAGAGTTGTGTATTGTGAGTTTAACTAGGATCTAACTTTGCAAAATGTAGTTAAAGACTTTCATACAATGAACCGGCCCCAGGCCTTTTACCACGAGTCTTTACTTGGACTGTCTCTCTTGTATTCTTTTCACATGTAAAATATTTTGGTTTTTCAGCCGAACAGCACGTGGTCTGATGGACCTTGCACTACCCTTCACTGTAAGGAAGTGCCAAACGCCTGCGTGCCTCTCAACCAAAGCGTTCAAATTGAGAAAAACATCGAGAAATGTGAACCTTGTGCACAGGTAGGGCAATGCAAGATTTCCATGCATCTTTTTAATAGAGGTAGAAGTTTAGGTTCTAAGTTCTGAACCCATCAATATGATTACCTTCAGGTAATTCAGCACATCAGGTAAAGGGGGAACAAGTCCCCTAAGTAGGGGAAAGGCCTTGAATTCGTGCAGTATAATTTCTTTCGTCTATAAAACTATAGTCGAAACCTTCAGCTGTAAGACCCTGTATTTTATTGCAGTATAAGATTGCTGAATCGCATTTTGAACTTGATATCCATTTCTTGCAGGGGTATACCCGTCCAGAATCGGATGTTGAATGTTGTCCGGCTTGCGGTGAGTTTGATAAATATTATAATTCGATAGTTCATGTTATAAGTTTTTTTTTTATATGAATTGATGTTAAAAATTCAACTTAATTTCCCCCTGCTTACCTCAAAATAGGGCACGGTGTTTTCAAGTGCTTTTTTAAATGATAACAAGTAAAATTGTTCACACACCCCTTTTTTCACCCGAGACGTCCACTTTATTTCAAGTCCATGGATATCAATAGTATATCTAATTATTGAAACGTATATATCACAATTATTTACAACAATACTACGTAATTTATACGAAGAAAATTAATCTTGAATATAGTTTAGGGAAATTTTAAGATTTAGCTGTAGTAAGTACGTATTTTCGGCCGGAACACAGTTATTAGAAGGGAGATGTCGCAGTGCTCGGAAGCTTTCGTCCAATTTGATAATGCTTTTCTATGCTTTCTAAAGAAGGATGCTATGCTATTGGTTAAAACAGAAATGTATTGTAAAGTTCAGCCAATGAAAATCATTCTTGCGAGGAGCTGCGACACTACCCTGTTAGAATATGAACTGTGGTCGGAACATAGACAAACAAGAGTTTATGATCGATAAACATTTTCGTTTTTCTTACAGTTCCCAAACCAGGAACTCTTCCGCCAAGTCTCAACCTTTGTCAAGCGTCTGCTGTGGAAGATATGCACATCACCGATAATAATTGCACGTCCACTGTGAAAGTTAAAACAAGAAGATGTTCCGGTTTATGTCAATCTTCCTACGATCCGGGCACAGATACCAGCCATTGCTATTGCTGTCGTCCCAAGAAATTCAAATTGGTCAACGTGAATTTGGAGTGCGAAAATCCTGTCGATAATTTCATCAAAGAAGTGAAGGTTGTCGAGGAATGCGATTGCCAGGTTATGACTTAGCTCGCTGTCAGTTTAACAAGTACTTCTCGTCTCTATTATTAGTTGTATTAATCATTTGAATATATGCTAGATGAAATGTTAAAGGCATAGTAAAATATATGTAACAATTATCAAACATTTTTCTGTTTGTATCAAGTTAAGGTGCTCGATAGTTTAGTCCTTTCGAGCCACCTTAATAGTTATCGTGCGCGCCCCCCCCCCCTCTCCACTTCCAGTGGTATCCCTACGATATAACCTGGGTTCAATTACAATAGTGACTATTTAAAAAAGCTAAACTTTTGGCAAGAATACCTTTCACGCAAGTTACCCTGCTCTGCTATATCAATTCATGAGGGTACACAAAATCTCACTTGCAATAGGGAAGTAAACCAAATGTGCAATACTTAGCCCTCCTGCTGTCCTGCATTCTTACCCCCAAGTGGGCGAACATACAGAGGGGTGGGGTGCCCCTTGTATCATCACCATGGATTATCAGTCAGTTTTGAGATTTGGAATTAGAATGACAGTCACTTGGGTTAGCTGTGCGAATGTGGCGCTTTCGGGCGAGATCACGCGTCAAGGTCAGTGCTCACGGAAGTCGATCTAAAACGAATGGCTTGGAAATATACCGCGTTACAAGAGAAACTATCATCCATCCAAACCAAATTAGCTGTAAGAATGGAAAACAAAAGGTACTACATTAATTCTATTCTATGCTGCTTTTAAACACGTCTTTTCAGCGTTTGAAATATGATCATTTTCGTTTTCAAATTTGAGTGTTCGTTCGGCATGCGTGCTTTCGTATGATACTTCGTGTTCAAAGAGAAAACGTTCGGATTTTTACGTTTTGTTCTTGTAATCAGTTTGCTTTGTGACCTTTTCTTTTAAAATGATTCATGTAGCGTATTACTGAAAGAATGAATGTCTGTTGGGAATGAGTTTCTTGATAATAGATTAAAAATGCATACAGACTGTTTGGTCACACCATGATCAGGCTTCTGTGCTGTGAATTAGATGCTTTTTACATTGGTTTGGGACCTTGGGTCAAACATCAATACCTATTGGCTTGTACTAACTCGAATTTGGGTTCATTTGAATTTTTCTTGATCATACCAACCAGCAAATAACCGTCAGCTTACAACCCAACTATTACAATTTCTGAGCAAATGAAGTGTGCCAGGGAACATAACAGTTCAGTTTGAATCCATCCATTATCCAAAAGGTGTTAGGCATGCTGCAACTGTCTAAATGCCTTTTTATGCAGATGGATTCAAAATCTTAAACTATTTAACATGGATGGATAATTTAGTATGTATCATTCTTTTTGCAATAAGTATGTATATATTTTTGCCCAGTTTGGTCTGGGCAACTTTCCTATCAATTCAGCAATTGATTGGAACAAATGGATTTGGTCAGAAAATTGCTGGGACATGCTTTTTTGCCTAGTGGTGCTATGCACTATACTTGATACTGCTGCTAATTTTGTAGCAACCCTAAAGCAAATCTGGGGTACTTTAGGGTCCGTACACAAGTAATCGCACTAGTAATGGTGTACAATGGTGTGTTAAAACTAAAAACATTCAGGTTTAGGGTTACTATTTGAGTCAAAATCACGTTTAGGGTTACAGTTAAATCATTAAATGAGGCAATAGATGGCGTATACTATATGCAGTTACTCAGATGTAGTAAGGTGTAAAAGTTCCCAAATCTGTTGTTAAACTTTATACCCTTATGTTTTTTATACCTGTAAACTATCCAAACTTTTTGGTATATAATTTGAATTCTAGCGATACCTCGGACCAGGTTATGAACCTAGCAGCTGAATGTCTTCAAGACAATCAGGAAATAAAAACAGTTGCAAAGAAACGCAAAGCTGAGGACTTTTTCGTCAGTGTGGACAATGTAAGTTGCTAAAAAAATGAGGGCTCGTTCAAATATAAATATAAATACCCATATAAATAAATGGTGTTTATTGGGTACCATTTGTGGTATGTATCCTAACTAATGGGCATCTGTTATAAATTTATTGATTTTTAGAAGCGAACTTTGCTGAACTTGCACAATGAAGTTGTGTATTATCAAGAAAGATAGATAATGATGTATATATCAAATATGAATAATATTTTAAGTGCTGTAGATAAGATTCACAAAGAGAACTCACTTCATATTGAACATTTTTACACAAGTACACGCTACCAAAAATCATTGCAGATTTTTAAACCTTGTAAAGTATAAAAATATTTTCATCCAATTTCTTTCACAAAGAATTTTTCGCTGTATTTTTTAACTTTTGTAATGCATTTTTCAACAATGTAATAAATTATTTTCCCTTTTTTTTGTATTGTATTATTTTTTATACAGGTTTGGTATTACTATGTTGTATATATACTGACTTTCTCAATTTTTTAGACCCATACAATGCAGCTAAATGTGGTATAATTTATCATGTGAGGTATATTTGTTTCATTTGCAGTCAAAGAGCTCACGTTTGATGTTAGATATGTACACACAAACTGATAACAGTCCTGACATCTGTCTGGTAAGTATGTTGAGGAATAATGCTAATAGCCAGGAAGAATTGACTGCCTGCCTCAATTTTGAGCTGTGTTTTTTGATCAAATTTTGAAGTGTCTGTCTGTACAGTATGTACTGCAAAACAAAAGTACAAAGGTACAATATTTGGGAAAAGTTCAATAAAATATTAGTTAAGTTGGTGAAAGATGTTTATAAATGTGTTTATATATGTCAAACTCTCTGCTAAATAGATGAATTTCAGTACTCAAATGATCTCATTTTGAAAACACTCTCCATAGAGTATTGTAATAATAGATTTCTCCATAAGTTATATAAATTTTCTGATCTCATTTTCTTTTATAATAGAAGCAGATTTATGAGTTGGTCAAAACCAATTCGGAGAACATTCAAAGGATCGAAGATATGGTGACAAAACTCTGTAATATAATTGGTGAATTTTCTGATGGTGGTTCAGGTCAGGTTGTTGGCACCCCGGAAAAGGTAAGGTTCATATATTGCGGTAAACTAAGAGGTTTAACATCAGTTGTTACAAGGTTGGGACATTGTATATATGAACTATAGCTGTCTTATGTTTCGATCATTCAGAAAACCAGGTATTTAAGTCCAGTTGACACTCGGCCACAGTTAGCTTCGACCCAATATCAAGGAGTATCGAACACTAGCCTTGCCGCGACTGATTATGTCACACAAGTTCCTCAGCAGAGCATCGTTGGGAATTGGGAGGGATCACAATTGAGATCTGAGGATATAACAATGAATCCTGCAATGCCTCAGGCGGAGAACGGACTGACCGATGTGATTACGACTCCAGTTAAAACACCTCCTAAAGTGAACTGGAACGGTGATAGTCCAGGTAATGCCTGATTTTAATTCCATATTTGGGATACGTTTCAATATAACCAGGGAGCAGTGTGGCAGCGTCTTCAAACAACTTAGCATCAAATGTGATACAACAACTTCCTAAAATAGACAAAACACTTCTCGACGTTTCGACCTGAGGACCTTCGTCAGAAAAGTTAGTAAACCAGGCTCGACTGTTGGCGCTATACTAACTCTCCTGACGAAGGCCCTCAGGTCGCAACGTCGAGAAGTGTTTTGTCTATTTTAGGCAGTTGTTATACCACATTTGATGCTAACATATTTGGGATAGATTTACTGGGGGGTTGCATGGGGGTATACCCCCAAGACCAGAGGGGTGCCAGTACTCGATTATCAGTATTTTAGTATTTTGGTGTATTTGAAACTTCAGAGTTTTTTCTGAGGCTTGAACAGGCTAGCTGGCATCTTTATCATCTTCTTTTTACATATTTTAAAAGCTGGTGTTTCAGAATGCAGGAAAGCAACATTTGTATTGAGAATAGTCACATTAAATAGGAAGTGAAAAAGCCAACACCGCCATACACAGTCTAAAGATTTCAAAACCATGTAGAGTTTTTGGTTCGCTTCTTTCTGATATACAGCCGAAAGATGAAGGTCAAGCATTTCTGATCATAACCGAAGAGAATCCCGTCTGAGTTAGCCTTTCAGTTACTTACAGCTTAATATAGGGCATACAGTGTATATACATGTAGCCAGTTAGGTTCGCAGGTAGTCTGGTACTGTGGAACATCTTCAACATCACATACTTACCTATTCTAAGGAATGAAACAAACAAAGTACACCCTTGATTGTTTAGGAAATCAGTTGTCTGGAACTGGATGTTGGCTGGGCGATCCAAATAACGCCAACAGTCGAGCCTGGTTTAGCGGCGATCCAAAGATCATTACGAAATGCGAGAATTATGGCTTGAACCCTGTGAAATTAGCGCTTGCATTGACCGAGGCTTTGTTCACCCGCGAGGAAATGGCTGCTTCGAATGTTCGAGGAACGCGAGGGAAGGAATCCTTGGATTCAAGCAAGATCAAGGCGGTCAAAGGTAAAGTATATAACATATCTATGGTTGATAGCTTAGCCTTTGTACTGGGAAATACCATAAATCAGTGGGAGCGATTCTTTCTGGACATCAAGGTTGAAAATTTTAAATGAAGTCGGTTCTGTGTAGGTTTCCTCCTGTAGTAACATTGGATCAATAGGATATGATCTGTAGTGGTCTTGAAGGAAAACTGGACAGTTTGGAACTGATAGAGCTACCAGTATAAAGTTAGTTTAGTTTAGGTTTCCTCCTGTAGTAACACTGAGCAATAAGAGATCATTATTGCTGAATACTGAACCTCTAGGAAGAACAGTTTAGAACTGACAGAGCCATCCAGTATAAATGAAGTTAGTTTCGTTTTAGCTTCCTTCTGTAGTAACGCTGCATGGATCAATAAGACATGATCCTTACTGGACCTGTACAAAGAACCGTTTAAAACCAATAGCACTATCCAGTATAATGTAAGTTTAGTTTAAGTTTCTTCCTGTGGCAACTCTGGACTCTGTGAGTCTGGTCAATAAGAGATAGAATGAACATTTGGGACTGACAAAGCTATCCGGTATTTTTCCAATAACATTAGTTTAGTTTAATAACACTGTTGACTGTTGCTATAGAAAAAAGTCTTTATACTTAGTGTAAATAGTGTGAAATTAGTCTAACGCCTGTATTCAAAAAGCTCACTCACACTCATACTCATTGAGTGTGACATATAAATTTTGTTAATGCTGATCAATGAGAAAGTTTTCTCTGAATAGATGGAAAGATATAAGGTAAATCACTGAAAATCAAGCTCCTATTCGGCTGGAAATACCGCCATTGAAACGTTATGAGCAGATTAAGATCTCCCACTCAATGAGTTTGAGTGTGAGTGAGCTTTTAGAATACAGGCGTAAATCAATAGAAGACGATCTTTAGCGGACCTCCACTAAGAAAGGCAGTGAAGAACTGGTAATGATAATTCTACAACTTATATTTAGATTTGTTTCTGTTTTTTCTACAGCACACGTCGACTATAAGTTTCCACTCGAGGAAGACCGGATGGAGTTACGTTGGCAATTGATCAAGCCAAAAATCGATTCGAAGTGCCGGTCGCAGAGAAGACTGCAGCGCGAACACAAATGGAAAATGGAGAAACTAATGACTGCAAAACCAGAGGTCGTCCCGTCTGGCACGCCCAGATCGAAACGGTTAGTAATCGGTGACCAGGAACGGGAAATGCTACTCTACGGGGTCACCAAAACGGTGGTCAGCGTTTATGCTGAGAACAATGCAGATACAACGCCTTTTACTGAGACACAGGAGGGGTATTTGCCCGTTAATACGAATCAATAAATATGTTAACTTCGACCATGTATAGTACAGCATTTTCATGGTGTCTCCTACACATGGGGGGCCCAGGGGGGGTCTGGTGTATGTAGTATTGTGGAATAAGGTATCGTGTTTTGTGTCTAAACTATCTGGAAAAGATATCTCAAACGTAGGCAAAGTTCTACAGCAAAGCCTATTTATTGAGACTTATGTGGACCACCATACATCTTGTTTTAAAATAGGGTCGCAAAACGGCGAAAGACTGGCGATCTAGTTTTAGTTTTCCATTGTTCGTGCTGAGAACACTTGGTAATATGTAACACGAAGTATAAGACGTCCAGATTCGACCATGTTGAATTTCTGTTTTAAATTTTGGATTTCTTGAGAAAAATTGCGATAATTCGACATGTTTTTTGATCCGGATAAATTTGATGCTGTTATAGTAATCTTCAAGTTTCTCGCTGTATTCTCATGCGGCTTGCTTGCGGGACAAAGCTTGTTTCTTAGCAGGGCGCCGTTCAAATGTCTGCTTGCCATGGTCAATGCTGACAAGATATCCTTGCGAGTATTTCGTTTCTCTGGGACGACGGTGAACCTTTATATGGTAAGACAAGTCGTTATATAAAAGCATGAAACGTGCAAAAGATAAACCAGTTTGCGTTTGTACTCACTTTTAATTGTAGATCTATTTATTCTATCATTTCTTATAATTTATAAACCGTCACATAGTCATCATCTCATCAGTCACATAGGATTTCATTCAAAATACAAATACATGTTACTGGAGATATGTGAAGTTGTATTTTTTTTATATTCTTTACATATTTCATTGGTGTGATTTCAGATTTCTACTAAACCCAGCATGCCAAATAGTAAAACAAACACTAGGCTTAGGAAAACATAGATATTTCATTTTCCTAATGTTGGACTTGAATAAAAAAAGTGGTACCACTCATCACAATTTTCCGGTCCTTCAAAACTGACGTAGTTAAGCTGTTATCCTAATTCTATCATGAATTGTGTTAAAATTTGTAATCTAGAGGTATTTACTCATTATCCTCTAATAGTAATAGATCTTATGCAAATTATGTAACAAGCTGTGACACCTGCAGGAAAGTCTGGGAAATTTGAATTTTTCGCCATGACTACTAAAACCAGAATTCCCTGCAGGCGTCACAGCTTGATATGTCATTATGCGTAAGGTCTATTAGAAATATATCATGTGTTGTACAATTGAACTAAGACGTCTGAGACACCAGCAGAAAAATAATGTTCTGAATGTCCCAGGTTTATTTATTTATTTAATTTATTTATTTTATTTAAAGACATTTGCAACCAAAACGAGTTGACAGGAGACAACTCGTGCGACATGCTACTGGGTACCCCCACCTATTAATCATTCTCTAATTTGTTTGGTATAGTATCGACTAAATTTGCTGGCCTGTTTTGCTGGATTTGCTGTGTTTATGTTGGAGATAAGAGACAGACATTATTGGCTGTATGGAGTTTTGGGTTTACTTCTGGTATTGCTTTATACAAAGTTTTATTTATGTCCAAGAATTATTGACCATTTGATGGCACCAGATTTTGCGAAGAAAAGTGAGTATTATTTCTATTTCATACCACAAGTAGTCTGGCACTTATGTATGTAACTAATGCTGTGTTCAGACTGAGCTCCCGTCGCTGGTGTCGAAAGTCAAAACATGTTCATAAAAATGCTGAGCAAAGTGGTTGTTTTTAAGCACAGTGCCTAATTTCATTTGGAAGCATTATGTTCAACTTAGGCACTACAACTCAGTCTGAATGCAGCCTAACCTATCAGTTTACATCAAAACTATTTGTTAGTTTGATTATTTTCATAATATTTTCCTATATATTTTTTTATATTTTTGTATGGTGATGGTGATATCACAATATAAATAAATTTGCTTGTAGGTACACCATATAAGTGTTTAATATTGCAAAGCTTTCTGTCTGTTAACCCTAGCTGGCCTATTTATATCAATTACTCTTAGTGTTCTACATACACATTTGTATTTTATCCGGTCAACAGAAGAAAATACAGATTACTGTATTTGTTCATATGCGACATACTTGCACCATGTACCTGGCAAGTTGTGTTGTGAAGTGAATGTTGTTTCTTAACTGTCTGACAATTGTTTTTTCCCACAGGTGAAAGTCATACAGAATCTATGATATCTAAATTTCAACAAAGGCACCACGGAAGGACGGTGCTCTTGTCCATAACGTTTGTCTGGCTCATATACAGTCTATATGTCTCGTGAAAGCACAGAATGGGAAAGAAGCAATTGTGGGTAAATTTTCAAACATTCCAGGATTCCCAATATTCACTATGATCTTGGATTACGAATAACAGTTCAGTCAAAACACGGAAGCCCTTGTCTCATTTGTAATTGTTGTCAGCATGTTAACTGTAGACAATAGACAAATGCAGACAATTGTTTTTATGCCTTGATGAGAACTTTTTAGATCATTTCAATTTTCACAACAATTGTGACAAGAGAACTTAATTCAATCCAAAAACTGCAGCATGGTGCATGCTGTAATTTAATGTAACTCCTCTATGACAAAGTATTGCCAGTTACAAGCATCTATTGCAAGTTACCAGAACTATTCACAAGCAAGGGAGCATGGATTAATAAGTAGGTTTTAAAATATTTATTCAGTTTGGGTGATTCATCTTAATTATCTGTGCAGGTGTGTGGTGCGAGACATAGTTTTGCATATAAAACAAAACACTATATTTACACAAATTTAGAATCCTCAGAATTTAGAATCCTCAGAATTTGGAAACTTAAAGTTTAAGCATGTCTAGAAAGAATGGCTATAATGTAGTTACGAAAGTCGATTGTACAAACATACACATTATTTATTTTTACCCAGATGTGCGTTTTTATTTACAGATTTCCTAGCGATGTAAAATGACATCTTATATTACATTGGTGCAATTTCCAAGAAAAAATAAATAGTAATCATATCCTGTAGCTGTCATCCATAACATTCCCTTGGGTTGAGCAAATAAAATAATTCAATATTAGCAATTCCCACGATTACGGAAAGATTTAAAATAGTTCATGTATAGCTAAGCGTCCGTCTTGATCCTCTTACTTGGTGTTGTGTATTCTCCTGCATTTTGGGGACCATCAACGCCATCAATATTTACAAAAGGGTCTACGAGTGTGTTGGAATCGTGTTCCTGTTCAAGTAGGGAATCACTGGGGAGTGGAGATGTGCTCAACAAGGTGTCTGTTGTCGAAATCAATGCCGTAGCTGTGTCTGTATTGAAAAGGCCGCTGTTTGTTTGTTTTTCCATGTTATGGACTATAGGAAGGTAGGTATAATTTAGCATTGATATAATGGGTTTATATTCAATATAGGCTTATAATGACATGACATTTATACTTAAACATTTGCTTTGCTTTCACATACTTTGTTGGTCAAGCATGACATTTTGTTGCTTGAGATCTTCAATGTCTGTCTGTTTAATAATAAGTATGAAATCAAAATCGATATTCAACTTTATAAATACACCATAAAAGATGGTATTGTTTGAATGGCAAATGCTTCGCGTCAATTGGATGAGCATCTTTACCTGATGAGAGTGGTTTTTTCTTCTCATGTAATTGATGTAGTCTGTTGCCTTGTTCAGAATTTGCGCTCTTGATGCCTGAAGTAATAAACAAATCTCTAAATCAATGTGGTTGGCCAATCCTTGGATAAATGGAATATATATTGCAACCAAGATGACAATTGGTTGATGTTAAATTTCTAAGGTAGGTTTGATGCAAATTGCCAACTGAACAACTGTCAGTACTCTTACTGAGAAGTAATATTGTGTGATGTAAAGGTCTGTTCACACTATCCAATTTTGTTGGATCCAATTCACTTTTGATGGATGTTTTGTAGTCTGTTGTCTTATGATGTTTATGGGCAGCAAATGCACTGAAGCCAATGCAATACTGCTTTATCAATAACAGACTATATTCCATATGTCAGAAGTGAATTGGATCCAACAAAGTTCAATTGTGTGAGCAGACCTTAAGAGAGACTTAGAGCATCACAAAACCTTGAAACAAATCAATTGACAAGGTTTTACAACTTGTTACAAGTTGTTGGCTTTTTTAATTAAACTTGCTGTGAAACAAGTTTGATTAAACATGTAGATAGCATGATTGATGAATGCATGTATCCGGTCATTCGGAAACTTGTCTCTTTAAGTACATTTTATGAGAGGTCTAATCTTAGGCTAACCCACACACACTACCTGTTAATAAATAATGAAATGCCAACACAGGTGTTTTCAACTATAATATCCGTATCTACTAATGTTCTTTAAAATGCAGGCAGAATCAATATAAGTACACTTTGATGGGGTCAATTTATATATACCACACCGCCTCAAGGTTGAAACTTTATCAATTCTGAGATTAAAACTATTGTGATACGACAGCGGGTCATGGTTGAACGAACTTCTATTTTAGAATGCAAGAAAATCCAAAAAATTCCGCCTTTTAACAATTCCTACATATATAATTTGAAATCGTCTATAAGAGTCTGGCCCATTTATTAAACCGAAAGAAAAGTTTCGAGTAATAATAACAGGAAATTGGCACAAGTCTAAACGTGAACTTGTATTTATTATATAAATAGCCATGATATTCGCAGTCGAATTTTCCCCGAACAGTACTTGTATAAACGTGTACAAAATACTTTCAATTTTAAAATTTCAACTCAGCACTTTTTCTCTCCCGAGATGGTCTGTGTATTTTATTATTTTTTTTAATTTATATGATACCGGCTCCCAAATATTGCGACTACCGGGGAAAGCGTGCTTTTATATTTGCGAAAGTCTAGAAATATAAGCGAGGTATTGTCAGAGGGCTTAACAAAGCGTTGACAGACACTTTCAAAGCATTTGCAACAGTGTAGTATATTTTGAATCGAAATGACTTCAAAGTTTGTATGTTATTAACTCTTCAGAGCGATAGAAAGAGGAGGTTTGAGCATTTTACAAGTATATACTTCTAGAAACAAACGAACGCAGGTCACAGTATGTAGCCGAAACAAAACACCAACCTTTTCCCCGTGAAGGGAAGGAACAGAATCTCGAAGATGACAAAAGCTGTCTTTTATATGATCTCGTCTCTTTCTTTCCAACGCATTGTGGTGTGCTCGTTTGTCTGCCTGGAATTCAACAAGAAAAATTTTAATATCAAAACACGTTTGAAGTTGCAGCTTTCGGTATTAGCGTGAACGGCATGAAAATACAAATTACGAGCTGATACAAAATTCAATTGTGTTCGGAAATTCTTTCTCGATTTTAATGGAAATACACAAAGACATTAAGGCACCGTCGATGTAAGTCGTGCCAAAGTTTCGAACAAAATCAACACGAAATTGACAAGTTTTCGTGAGCAATATTTTGGACACGTGTCATGCACAAATCCCATGTGCATTCGATAAAAACAAAAGCATTTGAATTCACCTGTGTTAAAAATTGGGTCGGTTGTTGGTCTTCTGTCGCTTCCTAGGTAAGAATAGCAAGCTAACAATCAGATCTGAAAGTGGGGAGAAAATCTGGGTTAAAAACGCGCCATTACCTCGTCCGATTCAACGTCTATATTTTCCTCGTCAGACATGACTTCGAAATGTTTCGCGTAAACAAACGTTAACTTCCCAAAACCTCGTGTTGTGTTTTCGAGCACGTGCTTGCGACGTACACGCACTCTGGCCAATCAGCGACCGCATCGAGTCCACGTGACCTTGCTCAATCACGCAACTTTGGTGCGGAGCCAACCTTGACCCGCATTTAGATCTCAAAATATGACCTTGAAATTGCTGCTTTATGGTCTGTATACTTTGCGTAATGCAATTATCAAACGTGTCCTTTCTTGCCCCCATTGTTTGGAAACGGGGCGCTCGAACATTCTAAATCACGGCCAATAACGCCATATGAATATTTCCAAAGTCAGTTGATATGTAACTATAAATATGGGCGATTCCCTAACAATTACGATTATTACTAGTCCGCGCCTTCTTTGCCACGATAATAAGTTATATATTACCACGTTATCATTTCAATATTTACCAGATTTGCGGAAGCACTTTCCGATTGTTTATAATAAAACTGAAGTTTGCGTCAAAACAATCTTCCTGCGCCAAAACACGAATATTCGTGTTGAAGCGCGCAGTATAAATTCGCAAACAAGACGATCCGTAAATGCATCAAATGCGCAAAATGTACAAATTGTCGATACAATAAAGTACTTGTTTTACCGTAATTTGCGTGAGTGACGACGTTTTGCAGGAAACGCTAGAAAGTGATGTGGAAAGTTACGTGAATTTGTTTTACGAAATACATCCAAAAAATGGAGAGGGAGCAAAACAGAATTGTAAGTAATAAAAGTTTTGTAATAGTATTGATAGTGATATGTACTGTTAGAACAGTCTAGACTAGTTTATTGGCCTGTGTCAAAGTGTCAAGCCTGTGTCACAATGTCTGCTAACGCGTGCTCACGCTAGGCTCATGCGTTGCCACGCGGGAGCTGTCAGCATTTTACGCGTTATTTGAGCGCGAAAAACCGCGAAGTGAATTTTAAATTTATGTCGGAAAGTCTCGTGCTTGGACAGTTGGCATATATTGTGCATGTGTTTTGTTCAACATTCTTGAGAAAATTTTTGCCATTTCTTCGCTACGTTGCAGTGAAATTTAGCTAGCAATTAAGCGTAAAAGTCAAACTGGTGTTATTCTTTTAATAACAACGCTTTAAAATGGAGTCAATGGACGAGCAAGCCAATGTAAATAACTCCGCAGGTGAGTGCTTCAAATTTGACCATGTGTCTCGAAGAATTTGTCATTTTTACCTGTAAAAGTAGTGAGACTCAGCAGTATTTTGAGCAGCAACCATTTGGAAGTCTTCCGTGTCTTGAACGGCCAACTAAATGATTTTTCGACTAATTTTTCCCCAGAATGTTCTGGAGATTATCGTGACTCTGACGAGCTTGCAAGTCTTAAGAAGCAGGTCAGAGATCAAGGAGACGAAATCCTTGTTCTTAAATCATCTTTGGCTGATGCTTTGAGAAGACTGCAAGTATTGGAGGAACGGAAGCCAGCGAGTGGTAAATATTTGTACTATGTTTTGTATTGTACAAAACTTTAAAATATGTTCACACAGACATACTATGAAATATGATAATAAGTTCATGTTGCCATTTAAACATGACCCTTATTGAATTTAGGATTATTCCATACACGGGCTTTTAAATAAACAACTTGAATATCATTTATTTTATAATTTACCAAATGAGTTTCAGTCAATCGTTTATATTTTGCCATGCAAAGAAGAGAAACCTTTAACATTTTCAAGATCCTGTTAAATTGTGTTAATTTATAATGAAGTTGCTAATTAGCAGTTCTAATCAGTCTACATACAGTTGAATGACATTCTAATTACTTAAATAAATAAATCCTTAAATAAATCCTGCCTTGATCCTGAGAGGGCAGGTTTGGCCATTGTGATGGAAATTCATGTTCAGTTACGTATTTGGATTGCTCTACTATGGCAAAGGGATGGATTGTTTTATTATTATTAAAAAGGTTTTTGGCCTGATGAATTATGCAAATATCTAGATAATAGCTTCCGAGGTCTGGTTGAAAATTTCAAACAGATGTAAGCAAGACTTGACTAAATTAAATATTCACAGGGTAGAATTATTATGGGCTGTGTCGACAAATTTGTGTTGGGAAAATAGACATAGAATGCACCAAATAACTCTGACCTTTCAATGTATAAGTGGTGCAATTAAATGAGCTCTTAAAGTTTGTTTATTCATGAGATATATTTGGCATGACCTCTTCAGGATAGAAATGTACATGTCTATTGTTCTATGCTACTTGTGTTAGAACACTGTTAATAGAATATATATGATTTAGAGACTACATAAGAGTACAATAGTACAATTAATAGAACTCATTAACTATGTCGGAGAACATTTATGCAAAAAATTGTTCCTTATTTGTCACGTGTCTATTGTATTTTGAACAAATAAACTAATAGTAAGGTCTGAATTAACATGTTGTTCAAGTCACAGTGGAGGAGCTAAGCCAAGCCATTGCTATTGGTTATTTGGGCAAAAATACAATAGACATGTGACAGATAAGGAACCATTTTTTGCATAAACCTGGACAATAACATAGATAATGAGTTGTATTGTATTTCCATGTAGTCTCCAAACCATGTATATTCTAATAACTGTGGTTAGAAGTACTGAAATAGATTAAAGATACAATTTGTACATTGTTAAAAGTTTAATTGAATTGCGCCACTAACATACTAGACTCAGATTATACATAAATTAAAAGGGGGTGAAGATGATCGATATTTATTTAAATGTAGCTTAGTTTGTTTGACTTTGTTTCAAAGCAATCTTTTGAAATGGTTTTGGTATACATATGACCTTAATGCGACTGCACCCAAATTACATTATAAATATTTGCTCAAGTAGAAAATTACTCAGTTGATGCATATTCTAGCCAATAATTATTCTTTTGGATGTGTATAAAGTTACCTAGCTAATGTAAGACATAAAAGTATATAAAGATACATTGGCAAAGTACCATTGTCAAAATTTGTTTTTAACTAGTTTAACATTTTGTTTTGCAGCTTCTGGAAAACCTAAAAGGCCCAATTCAACATCAGCTCTTGGAGACCATGTACGTTTTTTCTATTTTGCCTATTATTAGACAAAGTACCTTTCTTCTGAACAATTTAGTATATCTCATCTGGCCATTTTATTTTAAGACCCCATTCAAGTATGCTAGTCAAAGTAAGAAGTCTGGGAAATCACCAACAAATAGCTTTGCATCAACACCAAGACCTCCATCATCGAAGCACAGCGCTTCTGATTCTGCAAGCAGGTAAACGTGCAACCATTTTATATGCTGTTCTTTTGTATGGCCATATGGTACTATATTCTTTTGTAATTATTTCAGGAAGGGGTCATCTATCAGGAGAAAAACTAGCAATAGGTAATTCTTTCTCAATTGACCATTTAAATAATTATAAAGCTTTGTGTAGTATGTACCCAGGTGCTTCCCTAAAAAAGGTTGAATTGAGTTTACTATAGAGACAAATGGCTTAAAATAGCAAGTACCTACAACTGCTTCCATCTGCTATTGCATCCTCCTCAAACAGTGCTACATGTGTGCTTGCTATTGTTATACATCCATTGATTTTTGTAAGAAGCTGGTTGCAAGTTCGATTTTTGGAAAATACCTGTAGTTGCACCTAGAGTAGCTATTTTTTTGTTGTTTCGTTTTGTCTAATACCATAAAATGTATTGCAGTGGCTTATCAAAAGAAGAACAAGCTGAACGAGGTAATGCACTTGAGACGTTTATTAATCAAGTTCTAAATACTTGGATATTTTGCTACGCTGCATGTTCTTGGATGCTTTTCAAATAGAAAGTATTAAATAGAAATGTATACATAAGATTAGTATAAACTTTTTATATATGTCAAATGAATTAGTAGACTTTGTGAAAATATTGTTAATGGCCCTCTATAGATGCAGTTGCTATGAAATTCCAGCTGCGTGGTAGGACATTGAATTTTTATCCGCCAAGTAATTTTGATGAATCGTCTCATTCTGGAGATGCTCCTGATGTGAAGTTACTATTGGAATGGGTGTATCCTTAATAATAGAATTATATAATCACTATGGCTGGCAATTGCTACCTGGAGCCGGTTGCTCAAAAGCCGGTTAGCTTAACCCTGGGTTAACTCAAATTTTCACATTAATTTTTTTAACTGTTCGTTTATGAAGTTGAACTTGTTTTTTTCATTTGAAACAAACAGTGGCACATATGCAGAAGCACATTAACCATAACAGCGGAGCATAATTTAACTCAGGGTTAGCACTAACTGCTAAATTTGAACAACCAACCCTGGTCAAGCACTTAAACCGTTACAAAGGCTATCAAGCTAATGGTTAAAAAAGATAATAGGCTCCACTATTTATTTCTTTACAAACATGTTTTCATAAAAAAAATTTAATGAATCTTGCACTGGAGGTAATAGTGATCGAGCAATTATATTGACCTTAATGTCATATTAGGCATGGTTACCGTGGAAAAGACTGTCGCAACAATCTCTATTGCTTGCCATCCAGTGAGATTGTGTATAACACAGCTGCTGTTGTAGTAATATACAACCCAACAACCAAGACCCAGCGACACTATACTGAACACACTGATGATGTCAAATGGTAACTTAATTTGGTTAAATTCCTATACTGTGTATACCTATATATACATTCCTATATGCATGTCAACCATACCCCCTATAATTCCTATATACACATCAACTGGCCACACCGCCTATAAATCTATGTCTGTGTCTGTGAATTAACACCTATCACCCACAAAGTCCTCTTGACAATTAGCAAATTATTTCGTAATGCTCATGTAAATTATGTATCATAGCCTCGCTCTGCATCCAAACAAAGAGATTATTGCAAGTGGTCAAGTTGCAGGACATGCAAAGAAGGAAGGCAAGGTAATATACCAGAGAGTAGGAGACACAATCCAAATCTCTTCAAAGTTGAATCTTAGTGAAGATAGCTTCCCCTAATTGTGATTATAACCAACCAGAAACATACTTTCTTCCACTTCAACTACTAAAACATTGGTGTGTAATTGTAAAGACTTTATTTTGTCAATGGCAAGCAGAGGAAGTATATAATATTCATTACGGTTTCATTTTTATATGTTTGTAGCCGCATATTCGGATCTGGAACATCACCTCCCTGCAAACACTCAAAGTAGTTGGTTTGGGATCATTTCAAAGGGGATTATCTTGTGTGGCATTTTCAGTTGAAGTAAGTCAGATGAACCTTAGTAGCCTTAATTCACGGGCAATAGCATGAAGGCTCTGGGTACATCATTCGAATGATCCTAATACACAGCTATATCAACCAGTATAACTGCAGTATAACAACCAGTTATTGCACCCTTGTGTCGTCAGTTTTCAATGCAGCTATGTCAATTGTCAACCATAATCAGTTTTTTTCTGAATGTAATTTTCTGCGTCCCAGGATGGTGGTGCTCATGTGGTTGGTGTGGATGATGGAAATGATCACAATTTATCCATCTGGGAATGGGAAAACAAGAAAAAAGTAACTGAAGCTAAAGTACGTGTATATTTGAAATAAAGATATCTGGTTATATTATGCGCATTAGGCGCATCATATTAGCTAGCTAATTGCCAATGAATGATTATCTGATCATTTGATCTTCTCTAGGGAGGTAATGAGCCAGTCTTGGCTGTGGATTTCTACCCGGGTGATTCAAAGCGTCTGGTCACGTGTGGCAAGTCCCACATCGCGTTCTGGAAACTGAACGATGAAAAAAAACTCGAAAAGAAAATGGGCGTTTTTGAGGTATATAAACTGCCTGGTGATTGATCAGCAATGTATCAATGAAAATCGTCATTCTTGCTTAAAATTTTCTCTCAAACAAATCATCAGTGTTGCATCGTACGTTTTCGTAACAAATATGCGATGATTCATTCAACTTTTCTACAATGCTCTCATATATATTATTAATGTTTCATTTCAGAAACACGCTAAACCAAAGTATGTGTTGTGTTTTGCATTTGGACAAAATGGGGAGGTGATTTCTGGTGATTCAAATGGCAATATCTTCATTTGGGCAAACGGTATGTTTGTCACGATCCAAATTATTGTACAAATAGTGCATGGCTAGTGAGTTTCGCTAAAATTTTAACAATATTCAATCGTTTGTAAGTTTAGTCTTTTTATATTTACTTTTATGTGGTGTTCAGAGGGCAACCAAATCACACAAGAAATAACAGCTGCTCACGAGGTATGGAAGAGAGCTTCGCCGGTTAAATTGCTACCTGCTTTTTATCTTTGGCTCTAGCAACGCATTCAACTTTGCTATCTGAATAAAACAGTTACAAATTTCCATACAAGCAATCCGAATTTATTAACGAAGTCAAGTTAATCTTAATAGTAAACCTATTTTCCCAACCTTAACCCTAGCACTAACCCAAATCTTAATTCTAACCGCTAATTCTATCCGTTAATCCTATCTGATTTAGGGGCCAATCTTCTCTATCGAATCATTTGAGGATGGAGCGTTTCTCTCCGGTGGAGGCAAGGATAGGAAAGTCTTCCTGTGGGACAGCAATTACAACAAGTCTGAGAAACAGTTAGAGGTAAATTTTGATTAGTAGCCGAGATTGGGGCGTAACGAGCGAGATATATAGAGTTGATAATGGCATGAATCTAGTTTATTTTTCGGGATAGAACTATGTTTTTTTGCGAAATATGATGGGTTCTCTGTAGCTAACTAACTGAATTGACTGTCTCAGTCAGTTTTCCTGGATCAACTTTCCGTTAAAGCAAGTCGTGCTCCCTTTAGATTCCAGAGGAAAGTGGTACAGTAAGATCTGCTATCTTGGGTCCCAATGATGACGAAGAACGATCCGTCGTGGTTGGAACAACGAAAAACTGCATCCTTCAAGGAAAATTTATAGAAGAAAGCAATCAATTTCAGTGCTTGACAAAGGTAACTAGATCATTTGATGCAAACAACATTTGATTTAAGAACTTTCAATCCATGCAAGCTGGTTGATCGCGTATCATATCGTTGTATGTTCAGTGATGACCATCGCTTATATTCCAGGGTCATTCTGAGGAGACGTGGGGTCTGTGCGTCCATCCTTCTAAGCCAATATTTGTGACATGTGGTTATGATAAGATGTTGTATGTTTGGAACAGCGAGGATAAGTCTTTGGTCTGGTCTCAGCCGCTGGAGGTTTGTGATTGTGAAATACAGAAATTTGATACTAAAAGTAGTATTCAGAGTTGGGCGGTTTGTCAGTATGTGTCGCTAAGAAACCCCTCTCTTCTATTTTATCCCCTATAATATAAGCAGAGAAAACGTTTCTGACACACCCCATAAAGAATCGTCTCTGACACACCCCAACAAAAAACCGTGACATGACAGCTAGGAATCGTCCATTTTAGGGCTAGTTCACTTTTTGATTTTTGATTCAAGCTATCGTCAATGAATGTCTTAGGGTGCTCTTCAGTCAGTATGTTTTCATCCCAATGGTAATTTCCTGGCAGTCGCATCTCAGAACAATAAGTTCCACATTCTTGACGCTGATACTGGAGAGGAATTCTACACCTGTGAGATTGGTTCAGAACAACATGACTGCATAAAGTATTCTCCTGGTAAATTTTTCGACCACCTTATTTTATTATTATATATGTATATATTTAACTTCCTTACTCCTGTAGTAACACTGGATCAATAAGACACAATGCTTACTGGGCTTCTAGGAAGAACAGTTTAGAACTGATAGAACTATTCATTTAAATAAAGTTAGTTTGGTTTAGGTTTCCTCCTGTATAGTAACACTGGATCAATAAGAGATAATCTTTACTGGGCTTCTAGGAAGAACAGTTTAGAACTGATAGAACTATTGAGTGTAAATAAAGTTAGTTTAGTTTAGGTTTCCTTCTGTAGTAACACGGGATCAATAAGAGATTATCCTTACAGCACTTTTAGAAAGAATAGTTTAGAACTGATAGAGCTATCCAGCATACATAAGGTTTGGTTAGTCTGCGTTTCCTCCTGTAGTAACACTGGATCAATGAGAGATGATCCTTACTGGATCTGCAAAAGGAATAGTTTAGAACTATGAAGCTATCCATGCAGTATAAAGAAAATTTTAGTGAAGATTTCCATCTAATAGGACTAAACAGAATATAGTAACCAACCCTGCATGGATGTTATATATTTCATTTGACCAAAGCAGCTAATGTATATATTCGTATCATCTTTAGATGGATGTTATCTAGCGGTTGGCTCTCACGACAACTTTATCTATTTTTTACTGTGAGCGAGGATGGCAAGCAGTATAAAAACATGGACGACTGTCCGGTCATTCTAGTTACATAACGCATCTTGACTGGTCCAAGGACAGCCAACATTTGCAAAGCAATTCTGGAGACTACGAGATCTTATACTGTAAGTGAAATCGAGGTTTCTTTTCAGGACAACATTTTTGAACTGATATAGAAGACCAGCAAGGAATTGGTTTTCTGTTGGGTTTAATTGACCTGGGGCTGGTTGTATCAAGCCTGTTTAACTTCAACGGTGGATAAGTCAAAACTAAATATCACTCTTACGTCTCTTTTGAATGAGTCAACTTGAATTATACACTGAATATGTAGTTGTGAACAGTAACTTTGTACTGATTAAGGTTAGAAACATTTAGTTCGCTTGTTGAATAAAACGATAGATGTGCTTTCTATTTTGAACTTAACCACCGTTTAAGCTAAACGGGCTTGGTACAACTGGCCCCTGATGCAAAGAAGTATGTTTCTTACTTGCAATCAAGGAAGGGTAGTTTATAGTTTATATTTTTGCTGTTTTGCAGTCACATAATTGAGTTGTGAATTTGGAATCGATAATATGATCCAGGAGGAGGAAGTATGATATCCTATCTCATTTTTAGGGCAGGCAAAAGATTGCAAACAAGTTTCATCAGGATTTTCAATGAGAGATACCGAGTGGGATTCTTGGTCTTGTGTGCTGGGGTTCCCTGTGCGAGGTAGGCAATATTGCAATAAAAGGTTCACTATCATCACAAGTCTCGTGTTATTACTCTGTACATTAGAGAGGCGTTTTGCAGCAGCGAAACTAAATAGCCAATTTACGTTGAAATAAATTCTCGTGCTAATTTGCGTAGGAATGTGGCCAGAGGGCGCTGATGGAACTGATATCAATACGTGCATTAGATCACATAGTTCTCAGTACCTCGTCAGCGGTGATGATTCAGGCTGTTTGAATATGTTTACGTATCCTTGCTCTAAACCTAAGGTAAGCTTTTCCATACCTTATAAATTGAAGCCAATTGTTTCTGTGAGTTCTGTGAAAAATCGCAAACCTACTCTTGTCATCTGCTAAATCAGTTTCCCATAGGGAAATTTCGACAATGATTTAGTCAAAGCTGAGAATATCGTGACACATAGATTCATCCAGGTCTAATATTTACATCAGTGGGCCCCCATACATCTCTGTATTTTTTTCTCGGTTTTAGTCCACGCCAAATGTTGCCCACGGTCATAGTTCCCATGTTACCGCCGTACGTTTCCTAGCAACGGATTCTCATGTCGTCAGCACCGGAGGCAAGGATAATACCGTCATGCAATGGAGGCTCGAAAGATAAGTATTCTACCTCATTCCTGTTAGCAAATATCGATGAAATGGTCGTATCTCGTAGACAAATGCTTTGAATATATTAGCTCAGCCCTGGGAAAGGGGATAAATAGTTTGTTAAATTTACATTGTTAAAATTTATTTACATCGCGCGGTACTTGCATTAATAGCTCGTAGTATAGTTATTACAGTCTTCATTATAACTAACACGTATATATATAATGACTAAATGAACTATGTTCTATTTATCTTCGGCAAGTCGTATACAACAGTCGTAAAAACATACCCTATAGTTTCTTCAAATTTTGTTGGATTGCCTAGACGAAAAATTTTTGGGACAATGTAAGAGGCATGTTTGTTGATTCTGAATCTAATTCAACAGATTAATGCGCGTAGATAGTTTCCAAATAAATATTGTTTTGTTCCAAAATGTTTAATGATGGACTATGTTGAGGTTTTACAATAATCAAAGCTCGCGAGTTATTCAAAGGTCGGTGCGCGCAGTCGCAAGGATAACGGGAATTTAGATTAAAACGTCGAGTACCGCTTGATAAAGTGTTGAACTGGCATAGTGGTGAAGGTTAAAGTGAAACATTCAATACAGCGTTGCAAAGCAAGATATGGTAGACTATATTTGGACTAGTGTTTGGTAGCAAACAGCTCTGCAGTCAGCTAGACTATCAGTATTGCATGCAGTGATCAACTGAAGTTGGGGAAGGTTGACACTTGACAGTAAAAAGCAAAGACATACTACTTTACTCGGGCTAATATTGGTGGCAACTCCTGCACTGAGCAGTTAATATTGGACAAGACAGGCGACATCAGTGGCAATGGCCAGCCCTCGGTTGGACTTTCAACGTCAACAGGCAAACATACCCCAAAACACTAGTATTTCCACCTTAGGGATTGCTTGGAGAAATCTGACAAATTAACTTACCCCTAAACGCTTTTCCAAACGAAGACAACGATCTTCCAGATCGTTCTTCAAACGTTCAATTTCCTCGCTTAGTTTTTCCTGTTTGAAAAGAATGATAAACTTCAGCGCAAAGTATCGACTGTGGCAAAAGAGATTATGGTTTCAAAGTAGAAAGGTTCCCTCGTGCCAATATTGACATAAAAAAAACACTTTAATCTGGTCACACTGAAATCGGTATGGTAGATAAAGTTGATTTCAATATACACTTGCCTTCCTTAATTTCTCCTTTTCCAAGGATTCTTTCAAACGCTGCTTGATTGCCTGTCGTGTTTCTAGTTTTGAAGCGGTTTTTGTTCTTATCCCATCAACGTTCTCTTTCTGATCAGCCTGCTTTGGGACCACGCCACAATCTTGCTGATTTTCTTAAAATGCGGAGTTGAAAATGTGACGTTTACGCGCGTGTTTACACATTCACATACGCTAGGCTGAGAATGGTATATGCAACAAATAGCATTGTGTGCATGAAAGAATCTTACCTGGCAAATCTACCGATGGTTCCATGGTTTTAGCAGGGGTGTGAACTTCAATTTCATTTTTCTCCGGGAACGTTGTTTCCAACTCATCACCCTCTACATCTAAAGTACTTGTTTCTTCAGCTCTCTTTAACGCATTATCAGCATTTTCTGCACTGTTTTTCAAGGATGAATTTTGGTCCAAGTTCGCCTCGATTTGTCGATGAGGATTTCCTCGGTTTCTGCAATCACACTCTTGTCCGTTTATTTGGTCATTCAAATCATCACCTTGCTTGTGCCTGGAAGGCTCTTCATCCTCTTTCCGTCCGCCCGTGTTTTCCGTCTGCGTAACATACTCCTCGGTAGATCTGGAAAAGATTATGTAACATGGGGCAAAAGTTTAATGGCACATTGAAGACGGATTTCCTTTTGAAGTTTTAGACCGCATACGAGACAGTGAAATCAACTAAAGGCAATGCAATAGTACTACTTTATCAAAAACAGACTACATGCCGTACGTCAAAAGTGAATACTTCACGAACCGTTCAAGTGTGTCCTGAGTTGCTTCCATCATTTCTTCCGAACATTCCTCAGCATATTCCCTATTGGATCCCAGTGCTATTTTAGGAGGTCTGCGTGCTTTCCACCATCGTTGTATTTTCCTTGAAGCAGCCGTGGTCATCCGTTCTCCACTCCTACCGCCGTTGATTTGAAGGTAATTTACACATTCCGCATGCTTGTTCATCCGTGCCAGGTCAAGCGGTGTTAGGAACTTGTAGAGTCCGTTCTTTAAGGTATGTAAAAATGATCCAATGTTTGGCATGTTTTGCCAAGAAAAGTTGGTGTAAGGGACGTAGGGAAGAGATTTTGGGAGATAGTTTTAAGAGGATTTGTGGTTCAGGGAAAATCAAGCTAAATATGTATATACATCATCAGCAGTTGGCCGATAATCCCATCTGCTCCTGGTTAGAGCATAAAGTATACAATTCTGGTCGAGTTTCTATCTTGAATACTTGGCGTTTTGCCTTATAGCTTATCCTGGTGGTCTAATAAAGGAGCTAGTTTGCCTGGAAGGGACATAGTTTGCTAGTTTGTCTTGCCTATCAACTATGAACCGTCTGGTATTTATCGTCATCAGAGCGAAATGCCCAAAAATCATTTGATAGTTTTCTCAGTATAAAGCTATGGCACTGATTAAATAATTATACGACAGTCAAAAAATTTGTTTTGCCTTCATTACCTTACACTGTGTATTAATGCAGTTGATATCAGCACCTCCTTTTAACAGGCATTCACACACAGCAATTGATCCTACCGAGGCGCAAAGATGTAGTGGTGTAAGGCCTTGGTTATTGCGTACATCAACCTCGCATCGACTTGTAATGATGTGCTTCACAATATCTATAACATGGAACAAAGCAGATTATCAACTATGAAGAACTCGGAATTTTTGCCCACCAGAATCTTCATTCGCTTCTATTCATCAAGTTATCTCGTTAACTGACTTGATTACAGACACACACACAAGGAATCAGATGTCAGGACATAATTTCTGAAAAATCATCAATAGTATTTGAAGTTTCCATGGACTTACCTAATCGTTGAAACAAGGCAGCCTCGTGTAACGGGAGGTCGCCGGCGTTGTTCCTGTGTTCATGTGAACCCTGGTGGTGAACAAGCTCCTGTAATACCTCAATTAGTCCTTTAGATGCTGCCAGGTGCGCTGCACTGTTAGAAAACATATAAAATGAACTTAGAAACGTCACACGATTACAACTCATCGTTCTTAAGATGTTTTTAAAACAGTTGCCAGACTGTTTTTACTCAGCTATCAGAGCTATTCAAGTGGATATCCAGTTTCTGGCATTTAGTGTCACAAGATTAGCGCCTGGATTCTAAAAGCTCAGTCACACCACTCAAGATAATTGAGTGGAGGATTATAATGTTCTCATAACGTTTTCATGGCGGTATTTTCACGCGAATGAGAGATTGATTTTTTGTATTTTACCTTTCCATTCCCTAATTTTTCCATTGATTAAGAAATAATCTTTCTCACTGATCACTAATAACAAAATTTATATGTCACACTGAGTGAGTGTGAGTGAGCTTTTTGATTGCAGGCAAAGGTTTTGTCAAGAATTGCAAGAAGGCCGACAACTTCTTCAATGGTGATTCCAAGCTATATGAAGACCTTTCTCAAAATGATCTTTGCTCTGGAGATTTTCTTAAATAATTTATGTAATCTATTGCAAAGGAGATAGAAAACGTAGTTACATTAAATTTACAAGTCATCTGACTGGAGCTCTATTCTTTATGTGTTGAACGAATTCTATTAAATATGCTCGCCTTCATATTTTTGTCACGATCTATTTGCAGTATTGAACTGGATCAAAATTCGTGTCCCCTGAGGGTACGTTTTTCTACAGCTCTTGTTTTATTCCAAGTCGGTTGTCAAGTTTTTGTTAAAGGCCGTTTTACACGTGCAAGGCAAAATTATAACAATAAAAAACCACTGGATCATAGTAAAAAAATGGCTGTTGTCAACTTTTCAGTCTTAAGATATTTGTGTTTGTTTACCTATTGCCCTTTGTGTCTTTGTGGTTCGGCAAAGCCTTATGTTGCAATAAAAGTTTTGCACACTGAACATGTCTTGTGATGATGGCATTAAATAACGGCGTGTATCCAAATTTGTCCTCGATGTTCATATCTGCTCCGCATTTCGTGATCAGAACTCGGATGCATTCCTCGTGGCCATGACTCGCGGCAATGTGCAGAGCTGAAGAAGGCAAATGAAAAGTTAAGTACTTCTGGATTTGTGGGGAAACCTGGATTTAAACGAAGAATTAAAGTATTGTTTATATAACTGGATAACTTTATCGATTCCAAACCATTCTTTCTATAGAGTTAGCAAAAGATATTTTTAAGGCTTGGCTATATTGTACCTGTGTGTCCATCATTGCACCTCGAGTTCACGGGAGATCCATTTTCAACCATTGATACACATACAGTTGGGTTCCCTGAAGAAGAAGTGAGACCTCTGTTGTATGCATTCAAAACTATAAATTACCAAGCGCCAGTTTTCAATCCTAGTTCGCATAGTCCAGTTTCAAATTACGTACAACTGCTTTTATACTTGTTGTCTTTTGTTTGCGCTGGAATTATTATATAGCTCAGTGGCATAGACGCTGATTGTCGCAGACCGCAATATAGTTCTGGACCAATGATTGGACACACTTCTGGCAAACCAATAAATGGGCTACCCAAGGTTCACCTACCATAATTAGCTGCCCAATGAAGCGGCAAGCGACCGTTTCGATCAGCCAACGACGTAGACGCGCCAAACTTTAGCAGTTGCTTGATTATGACGTCATCATCTTGTGAGCCCGCATTGATAGCATAGTGCAGCGGTGTTGCACCTGAAACGTCCTGACAGTTGACCAGTGAACCACTATTGAGGAGGGTTAGCACACAGTCCGTATGACCATAGTCTAAATGGAATTAAGGTCGTAACATATCCACTTGGACTAAAATACGTGATGGCAACAGATTGCAGGAAAATTTGATGTCTTTTATTTCGCCTATGGAAATGTACTTAGAAATGTACAAATTTTGGGAACATAACAGCGTTATTTTTTACATTTTATAACGTTTTGCAGTTAAACTTTGGCTATACTTATTTCTAAGATGTTCCTTACACTGGTTCCTTCTAGTTGTTGTGTCGCATTCCATGATCTTTCTTGGGCCAAAATTTAGTTCTCAATAGCAGGAATTAAGAAATTTAGTTCTCAAAACATTGAATTTTTTATGTAATTTTCGGTAAATTGTTGGTCTAATTACTAACTTCATATCTACTGAAACAAAGTGAAACACAGCTGTCTCGTTTAAATCAGACACACGCCTAATATAATATGGGTCAATATCACAGCATGTATGAATAAAAACAATATCGTAACTGACGCAGTTCTGCTAAGTTGAACAGAATATCCCAGAATATTCTGTAAATATATTTGGGCAATGTTTGAATTGAGTTCTTAGTATGAAAACAAAATTATCATATAAAAAGTAATCTCCATATAAGAGCGTTTGTTTTTCAACTTTAATTACCACTTAACAATCGCTGAGTCATTTCCATATACACACTGATTTGAGACATGAAACCATTCAGTAATCACGAACCATGACTATCAGAACGATTTGTTTGTAACAGAACACACGCAAGTATTTCTACAAAAATGTCGTACGTATTTAGCGCCCGACATATGCCTACAGCCGGTGGAAGCCAGTCTAAACCGATAGTATTTGTGATTGGAAGCAGTGGGAATGTCGGCAAAGCCACGATAAATGCACTCTCTATTAATTTCGGACGAAAGTTAGACATCCGAGCTGGTGTGAGACGACCAGAGTCTGTTTCAGATTTCAAGCATCTCACTGGAGTTACCGTTGTAAAAGCCGAGATGGGTCAGTGCGAAGCGCTTTTGGGATTATTCAAAGGGGTTAAGGCTTTGTTGATTGTGACACCAGGCACAGGAAATCGCGCAGAGTTGGTTGGAAAAACCGCAGAGGCAGCCAAAAGCGCTGGGGTGGATTATATTGTCGTTATCAGCGGTACAACAGCCGAAAAACCGAACACGATTTTGGGAAAACAGCTATGCGAAGTCGAACAGGCTGTTACAAGCCTCGAAGTGCCTTTCGTTATCCTACGTTTACCGTGGTTTATGGAAAGTTATTTCAAATATAAGGACAGCATAAAAGCAGACTTAATGTTTCACGCCCCTGTCGACGGCGGGAAAGAGTTTCAAGTCGTATGCATGGACGACGCGGGCTCAGCAGCCGCCGTCGTTTTGGCCTCGCCCGAGAAGCACGCTGGAAAGATCTACACGCTCGTCAGCGATCGGAACACCTTCGAGCAAGTGTCGGCGGCTCTGACGCGTGCGCTGAGCAGGGAGATTACATACGTGAGAATGTCCTACGAGGAAACAAGACAAAGTCTGCAAAATGCTGGTGTACCGGAGCTGTTTATCGAAGGGCTGTTGGAGTTTTATCAGACAATCGATTCTGGGGAGGCTCAGGCGTTCGGAGGGGATGAGCATTTTAAGGAAATTACCGGAAAGAATCCAACCAAATTACTCACGTGGATGAACCGTTTTGCAAGCGCGTTCAAATGACCTTCGTATATGAATGTTGTGTCAGATGATGGCACAGATAATGGTCTGCGCACAGGCTGTCCCCCCCCCTGATGTCACCAGAGGGGTGGTGCCCAGTTTGCGAGTTGACTAGTCAGTTGTATTCACTGTTATATACTAAGACTGAATAGAATACTAAGATTGAATTTAGGATTAAGATTAAGATTGAATTTAGGATTAAGATTAAGATTGAATTTAGGATTAAGATTAAGATTGAATTTAGGATTACACGTTTTAATTGTGGGTTTTTTAAGTGTCGAATTTTGGACTATCTACAAGTCTCTCGGCTATGAGAAAGATGTGTAAACATATTTTGTAAATTAGTTTTAAGTAATAATTTTCTTGTATGATTGCATGGCGACTTTAGTAATTATAATAACTTGTAGGTACACCACGTAAGTATTAAATACTGCAAAGCTTTCGGTCCGTTAACGTCCGAAAAACGGACGTCCGGGTTAACGGACCGAAAGCTTTGCAGTATTTAATACTTACGTGGTGTACCTACAAGTTATTATAATTAGTTTTAAGTAGTAGTTTCGAAATAAACACCGACATAATAATGGAAGCGTCTTATGGACGTCCGGGTTAACGGACCGAAAGCTTTGCAGTATTTAATACTTACGTGGTGTACCTACAAGTTATTATAATTAGTTTTAAGTAGTAGTTTCGAAATAAACACCGACATAATAATGGAAGCGTCTTATGGACGTCCGGGTTAACGGACCGAAAGCTTTGCAGTATTTAATACTTACGTGGTGTACCTACAAGTTATTATAATTAGTTTTAAGTAGTAGTTTCGAAATAAACACCGACATAATAATGGAAGCGTCTTATGGACGTCCGGGTTAACGGACCGAAAGCTTTGCAGTATTTAATACTTACGTGGTGTACCTACAAGTTATTATAATTAGTTTTAAGTAGTAGTTTCGAAATAAACACCGACATAATAATGGAAGCGTCTTATGGACGTCCGGGTTAACGGACCGAAAGCTTTGCAGTATTTAATACTTACGTGGTGTACCTACAAGTTATTATAATTAGTTTTAAGTAGTAGTTTCGAAATAAACACCGACATAATAATGGAAGCGTCTTATGGACGTCCGGGTTAACGGACCGAAAGCTTTGCAGTATTTAATACTTACGTGGTGTACCTACAAGTTATTATAATTAGTTTTAAGTAGTAGTTTCGAAATAAACACCGACATAATAATGGAAGCGTCTTTTTATATCTTCGACACATCTCTTAATATATATAGTATACCAGTATCAGTGCTTGTGTCATTTGTGCCAAGTGACTGTTTGTGCCTTAGCCGGACAAATGAGCAATATATCGAGACGCGAATTATGCTAAATACATGATAACATGCTACGTAATCTTTGAAGAATTTCCTACAGTGAACATAGATGCCTAGTAACATGCGATATACCTCATGCGCTAACTCTTATTATCCAGTTGAAACAAAACTTACCAACAGCAAAATGCAAGGCAGTATGGCCGTTGTTATCAACCGTTTCAAGATCTGTTTTGAACTCCAACAAAATCTTCAATGCATCAATGTTATTTTCTGTAACCACAATATGCAGCGCTGTTAAAGAGTCTTCGTTTCTCTTCTCGATAATCTCCGGAAATAGTTCGCACAGCCATCGGATGCTTGAAAGATAGTTGGAAGATAACAGTCGATGAAAGAGTTTCAATTTAACCGTTTCTCCTTTTTTCATCTGTAAATCAGATGGAATATAAATGAGTTGTTTCGAGCAAGTTGTCTCCCAGGGCTCAATCTGAATTATGGTTGGGTGTCTCGGATTTCTATGTGGAGTTTTCGGCAAAGTTGACTGAATTACCGACAACGCTCTCCAGTCTAATGAAAGACTGGACTCTGATAGAAATTCTTGATATTCACCTTTTCATATATGAAAACAAGCGAATAGCCGCGAAGGCTCTGATATATGGTTCCCTGAATCCAACCTGTACCTGACTTAATAGTTAACACCTACCTAATATCTACTCGTTTGCATTCATGAAAAGACGAAAATTGCAGGGAGGAATATAAGGAAGATTAGTATAACACCGACCAGTTAAATATTAGTTTGTAAACTAATATTGTAATATATACAAGTGAGTAGCCTATAGGTAGTAATTAGGTAGAGTTATCTGAACTTATCTCGGAGTCCTGTCTGTGTTACAGGTGAACTAACCATTGTGCTTCCATACATTTGATCACCATTCACATGTTCGTTTCCTTGTCCTGACTCTTTGGCGAACGACGCGCAGATAGCTAGTATCCAGTCTTCCTTGTCAATGACGCGGTCCAACACTGCGCTATCGAGCTGCGCTCCGTGTTGTATCAACAGCCTTAAAATTTCCAACTGCTGCAGCTCCGCCGCGTAATTCGCAGCAGTTTTGCCCGATGCGTCGCGTAGATTAACGTCAATATTGCGCTTGATCAAAATTTTGCATATTGCGCGAAATTCGCCCCCGATAACTGGTGTCCATTTCGTTCCCGAACGCTTTACGCAATGGATCAATAGCGATTCACCTTCGTCGTTTTGAATGTTGATATTCAGCGTTGGATGACGTTCCAGTATGTCTGTGAATTCTGCCATGTCGCCGATGTGAATGGCTCTGAATATATATTCATTGTCTACCTTGTTCGACATGATGGTATTTCACGTTTAGACGAGCTGCTGTTTGAAATTCCTGTCTGGTAAAGGTTTTGATATTCGATACGGTTTATATTAAGTGCGCCCAATATTTATAAAATGATATAACTAGCACAAATCCAAGGTCATTTCCGCTCTGATAAAACTTGTGCATGTCCCGTTTTGTTTATGTGTGTTCCTTGCTCCTTAATGAGAAATTGGTGAGCGGAAAGAATGATAAAATAGTTTATTCAATAGTTTGAAAAGGTAAGCAATAGTACGGTGGCCCACAAGGGTCACGTCTTCTCCGTGTAAAATTATGCATCGATGTTACGTGAAAACTAATCTGCTCGGTAGAAATTTAGCGCTCTTCTCCGTATAAGTGCAGTCTTAGGAAGCCATTTTTAGCATTTTAAGACAGTTTTTGAACAATTGAAAAAGTCGTTTGGTCAAAATTGACCAAAATGGTAAGGGGTGGTTGCAAGGCCAACGCCATCCAGAATATGCAGTCCTAATCATTTTGTTCTATTATTGCTAGCCAAGGAACTGCCAACGATGTCATTTATTGTTATCAGTTAACTGGACTTTGTGAGAGTTTTCTTGCAAAATGTTTGCCAAGGTAATTATTATAACAGATCCGATAAAGGCCTTTTAATGTTTCTCATGGTATACTGATCTGTGTTGTTTTCTGTGATTAAGTGATGTTTTTCTTCATGTTGTTTATCACTGAAGCTAAAGAATTGAGATACAGCAATCTTTGACTGACTTTAGGTGTAAGACGTTCGCCCAGCTATTGTAGACCGCATCGAATCGATTCAAGTCCTTTAAAAATTTGTGAATCAAGATGAGAATGAACTTAGTGAATCTGTAATTGCTGCTATATGTTTTGGCTAAAATATAAAAAAAAAACTGTTGTATGTCTCCAAAACAAAGGAGCTTATATAATATATACCAAAGTACAGGATTGTTTGACATCAGAAATACAAAGAATTCGCACACAGCGACAATTCACCTTTTAAAACGAAACCAAAAAACTAGAAGCAAAAAACAAATTGTGCTTCAAAACAAAACTAGAATGCACTGCTTTTAAAAGGTTGATATATAGGAAAGGACAACTTTTTTCTAGGCGTTTAGTGATTCGTTTATAGTAACATCGCTCACGATGATGTTCGGAGTTGATCGGCATGTTGTCGTACATTATCATACCACGTGATCTGCTATGATCACATGGTAATTATTGCCTATAAAAAAATCTCAACGTTAAAAAAAAATTTCTTCGAATAGGTGGCGATCGAAGGTGGACAGCAAGATCGAAGCTCAGCAAGATTGAAGATTGTTCGAGGAAGAAGGAGTTCGCCGTTGACTAAAAGGTGGGTTCCGGCGATTATATGCGTAATCTGCGGTTGCTTTGTCCGACCCCAGTAGGGGGACCGTTTGCCTAGAGCGTTTTGGTCCCCCGCACGCTGCTAGTTCCCACTTGTAGGCCTTTACACTAATCTACGGGAAGGCCGTAGGCCTTCCTTAAGGAGTACAGTGTAGCTGAGCCGAACCCTTTTTTTTCGTTGTATATAGGTTTATCTGAACAGCTAGTTGTCAAGATGAATGTGAAGACTCGCCCGGCCAAATTCAAAATGGCGATGCCAAAAAACCATCCACGTGGACCGTTCGCGGACCTTTCTGAGCAAGATTGTTGTGCTGTCTGGTCAAAGTTAGGTATTTTACTTTGATGTTTTGTGCCTTCTGCTAATTGTCGGCCAGAAATAACAAAAAGCCATATACAATATGAAATATTCTGCGTACAAGGTTATCTAAGTTTCGAGCTTAATTCTGCCTGCAATGATGATAATTTTTTACTGAAAATTTATGTCATGAGCAACTTCCGCACCCATAGACTGAAGCAGAACTGAACATTTTGTCATTAACGTTTATCTCAACAGCCAGTTATCAAGACGAACGTCAAGAGAACAGTTGAAATAGAAAATAGAAATCAGTTCAAGACTCGCCCGGCCGCCGAATTCAAAATGGCGATCCCATACACGTGGACCGTTCGCGGACCTTTCTGAGCAAGATTGTTGTGCTGTCTGGTCAAAGTTAGGTATTTTACTTTGATGTTTGTGTGCCTTCTGCTAATTGTTGGCCAGAAATAACAAAAAGCCATATACAATATGAAATATTCTGCGTACAAGGTTATCTAAAGTTTCGAGCTTAATTCTGCCTGCAATGATGATAATTTTTTACTGAAAATTTATGTCATGAGCAATTTCCGCACCCATAGACTGAAGCAGAACTGAACATTTTGTCATTAACGTTTATCTCAACAGCCAGTTATCAAGACGTACGTCAAGAGAACAGTTGAAATAGAAAATAGAAATCAGTTCAAGACTCGCCCGGCCGAATTCAAAATGGCGATGCCGAAGAAAAGTATACACGTGGACCGTTCGCGGACCTTTCTGAGCAAGATTGTTGTGCTGTCTGGTCAAAGTTAAGTATTTTACTTTACTGTTTGTGTGCCTTCTGCTAAAACTAGACAATAATTAAGGTAGTTGAAAATGCAATTTTATATTAATAATGTCTTCTTATATTAAAGATTTTCCTTGGTCAACATTGGAAGTGAAGAAGATTTCTGCGCAAAGGTAATTCGATTGTTTCTTCAAAATTTATATTAGCCTTGCAGCTGAAATTCTTGTCACTACCTTGTAATACATATCAACTGCCCGGGTATATATTTTGTTATTTCTGTAGTATAAGAGGGAATTTGCTGCAACTAGGATTTTTTTTTGGAAAATTGTCAGGCAGTCACAAATTTTGTCAAGATTACTAAGTTAACATTGCTTCTATGCTCACTATGTGTCACCAGTAATAAATTCCTGTGGTGGTCTTTAAATAAATATAGCAACCATAGTTATATGTAGAGGGATGAAGTAACCATTGATTACCTGACCAAAAACTAGACAATAATTCAGATAGTTGAAAATGGAATTTTATATTAATCATGTCTTCTTATATTCAAGATTTTTCTTGGTCAAGAGTGCAACATGAGCGGTTGATATGAACTTTACTGTCAGATCAACATTGGAAGTGAACAAGATTTCTGCACAGAGGTAATTCGATTGTTCCTTCAAAATTTATATTAGCCTTGCAGCTGAAATTCTTGTAGTGACTTTGTAATACATATCAACTGCCCAGGTATATATTTTGTTATTTAGTATAAGGGGGAGTTTGCTGCAACTAGGATCTTTTTCATGAAAATTGTCAGGCAGTCACAATTTTGTTAAGATTACTAAGTGAACTTTGCTTCTATGCTCCCTATGTGTCACCAATGATATATTCCTGTGGTGGGCTTTGAATAAATATAGCAACTATGTATATATAGAGGAATGAAGTAACCATAGAATGGCTGACCAAAAACTAGACAATAATTAAGATAGTTGAAAATGGAATTTTATATTAATCATGTCTTCTTATATTCAAGATTTTCCTTGGTCAAAGAGTGCAACATGAGCTGTTGTGGATATTAACTTTACTGCCAGATGAACATTGGAAGTGAACAAGATTTCTGCACAGAGGTAATTCGATTGTTCCTTCAAAATTTATATTAGCCTTGTAGCTGAAATTCTTGTCACTACCTTGTAATACATATCAACTGCCTGGGTATATATTTTGTTATTTCAGTAGTATAAGAGGGAATTTGCTGCAACTAGGATCTTTTTCATGAAAATTGTCAGTGCAGTCACAATTTGGTTAAGATTACTAAGTGAATTTTGCTTCTATACTCACTATGTGTCACCAGTAATAAATTCCTGTGGTGGTCTTGAAATAAATATAGCAACCATAGTTATATATAGAGGGATGAAGTAACCATAGATTACCTGACCAAAAACTAGACACTGATTAAGATAGTTGAAAATGGAATTTTATATTAATAATGTCTTCTTATATTCAAGATTTTCCTTGGTCAAAGAGTGCAACATTTGCTGCTGTGGATATTAACTTTACTGCCAGATGAACATTGGAAGTGAACAAGATTTCTGCACAGAGGTAATTCGATTGTTCCTTCAAAATTTATATTAGCCTTGCAGCTGAAATTCTTGTAATGACCTTGTAATACATATCAACTGCCCAAATATATATTTTGTTAAGATTGCTAAGTGAACTTTACTTCTATGCTCCCTATGTGTCACCAATGATAAATTCCTGTGGTGGGCTTTAAATAAATATAGCAACCATATATATAGAGGGATGAAGTAACCATAGAATGGCTGACCAAAAACTAGACAATAATTAAGATAGTTAAAAATGGAATTTTATATTAATCATGTCTTCTTATATTCAAGATTTTCCTTGGTCAATGAGTGCAACATGAGCTGTGGATGTGAACTTTACTAGATGTACATTGATTGGAAAGTGAACAAGATATCTGCACTGAGGTAATTCGATTTTGTCATGGATGGTCAGCATTTGATTTTAAAAAGCCACTACATTGTTGAGATGACAACAATGAAATTGAAATTTGCTTCTATGGTCACCATGTGAAACTAATGATGAAACTTAATGCTATAACAGCTGAACCAGTCTGGCTGATTACTAAAATTCCTGTGGTGGTCTTACAATAAATATCCATGAAAAAGACCGGCAATTACTATTTTAAACTTGGGAGAAATTTTTCTGATTTCCATGTGATTTATAGAAAGTTGAAAGGCACCCCAGAAGAACCTGAATTATTTTAGCCCTATCCTAGATTCATTGATTAATATATTTTAGTGTGTTATAACATGTGTGAAATGTGATCAATTATGTGACAATTTCAAAACTTGGATTTATAAAGAGAAATTTTTCTTTGTAAAGTTTAAGAAGTAAACCTTTTTTGTCTGGTGGTGTTAGTGTTTTGATTTTGCATGTTTTTCCCTGTGCTTTCACAATTGAAAATATTTTGGCAGTTGCTTTGGTTTTGTCTCATATTTTTTCTCTTATATTTTTTTTCTCTAATTTTTCTCTTGTCTTATAATTTTTGTCTGTAATTTTTTTTAATGTTTTTCTCTAAGTATTTTCTAAATGTTTTTTGAAAAGTTTAAGAAGAAACTTTATTTTTGTCTCATGTTGTTTGTTGTTTCGAGTTTGCATGTTTTTTCGTGTGCTTTCACAATTGAAAAGATTTTGGCAGTTGCTTTTGGCTTTTTCTCATACTTCTTTTCTCTTTAATTTCTTCTTAGTATTAGTATTTTTTCTAAATATATTTTCTCTTATTTTTTTTTTCATGAAATTCTTTTTTTTCTTTAGTGTTGAAGAAAGTTGAAAGGCACCCAGATTCATTAATTAATATATTTTAGTGTGAAATGTGATGAATTATGTGACAATTTTCAAAACTTGGATTTATAAATCTTTTTTCTTTGTAAATTTTAAGAAATAAACCTTTTTCGTCTGATGGTGTTAGTGTTTTTATTTTGCAAGTTCTGTGTGACTTGACAATTCTAAATTAAACCTCTTAATATTTTTTAGTATTTTTTCTAAGTTAAACCTGTTAGTATTTTCTTCTATTTCTCTAGTTTCTCTTGTCTTTTATTCTCTAGTGTTTTTTCCCTAGTTTTTTTTCTCTAGTTTTTTTTCTATTTTTCTTTTTTCTAGTTTTTTTTTCTCTAGTTTTTTTTCTATTTTTCTACTTAGTTGTTTTCTCTAGTTTTTTTTTTCTAGTTAGTTTTTTTCTCTAGTTTTTTCTTCTATTTTCTAGTTTTTTTCTATTTTTTTACTTAGTCTTTTTCTCTAGTCTAGTTTTTTCTTCTATTTCTCTAGCTTTTTTCTATTTTCTCTTGTCTTTTATTCTCTAGTTTTTTTTCTCTATTTTTTTTCTATTAAAACTAGTCTAGATTTTTCTTCTATTTCCCTAGTTTTTTTCTATTTTCTCTTGTCTTTTATTCTCTAGTTCTTTTTTCTAGTTTTTTTTTTCTCTAGTTTTTTTTCTATTTTTCTACTTAGTTGTTTTCTCTAGTTTTTTTTTTCTAGTTAGCTTTTTTCTCTAGTTTTTTGTTCTATTTCTCTAGATTTTTTTTCTATTTTTCTACTTAGTTTTTTTCTCTAGTCTAGTTTTTTTATTCTCTAGTTTTATTTTTCTATTTCTCTAGTTTTTTTTTCTACTTTTTTACTTAGTTTTTTTTACTAGTCTAGTTTTTTCTTCTATTTTCTTCTATTTCTCTAGTTTTAAATCCAAGTTTTGAAAATTGTCACATAATTCATCACATTTCACACTAAAATATATTAATTAATGAATCTGGGTGCCTTTCAACTTTCTTCAACACTAAAGAAAAAAAAGAATTTCATGAAAAAAATAATAAGAGAAAATATATTTAGAAAAAATACTAATACTAAGAAGAAATTAAAGAGAAAAGAAGTATGAGAAAAAGCCAAAAGCAACTGCCAAAATCTTTTCAATTGTGAAAGCACACGAAAAAACATGCAAACTCGAAACAACAAACAACATGAGACAAAAATAAAGTTTCTTCTTAAACTTTTCAAAAAACATTTAGAAAATACTTAGAGAAAAACATTAAAAAAAATTACAGACAAAAATTATAAGACAAGAGAAAAATTAGAGAAAAAAAATATAAGAGAAAAAATATGAGACAAAACCAAAGCAACTGCCAAAATATTTTCAATTGTGAAAGCACAGGGAAAAACATGCAAAATCAAAACACTAACACCACCAGACAAAAAAGGTTTACTTCTTAAACTTTACAAAGAAAAATTTCTCTTTATAAATCCAAGTTTTGAAATTGTCACATAATTGATCACATTTCACACATGTTATAACACACTAAAATATATTAATCAATGAATCTAGGATAGGGCTAAAATAATTCAGGTTCTTCTGGGGTGCCTTTCAACTTTCTATAAATCACATGGAAATCAGAAAAATTTCTCCCAAGTTTAAAATAGTAATTGCCGGTCTTTTTCATGGATATTTATTGTAAGACCACCACAGGAATTTTAGTAATCAGCCAGACTGGTTCAGCTGTTATAGCATTAAGTTTCATCATTAGTTTCACATGGTGACCATAGAAGCAAATTTCAATTTCATTGTTGTCATCTCAACAATGTAGTGGCTTTTTAAAATCAAACTGACCATCCATGACAAAATCAAATTACCTCAGTGCAGATATCTTGTTCACTTTCCAATCAATGTACATCTAGTAAAGTTCACATCCACAGCTCATGTTGCACTCATTGACCAAGGAAAATCTTGAATATAAGAAGACATGATTAATATAAAATTCCATTTTTAACTATCTTAATTATTGTCTAGTTTTTGGTCAGCCATTCTATGGTTACTTCATCCCTCTATATATATGGTTGCTATATTTATTTAAAGCCCACCACAGGAATTTATCATTGGTGACACATAGGGAGCATAGAAGTAAAGTTCACTTAGCAATCTTAACAAAATATATATTTGGGCAGTTGATATGTATTACAAGGTCATTACAAGAATTTCAGCTGCAAGGCTAATATAAATTTTGAAGGAACAATCGAATTACCTCTGTGCAGAAATCTTGTTCACTTCCAATGTTCATCTGGCAGTAAAGTTAATATCCACAGCAGCAAATGTTGCACTCTTTGACCAAGGAAAATCTTGAATATAAGAAGACATTATTAATATAAAATTCCATTTTCAACTATCTTAATCAGTGTCTAGTTTTTGGTCAGGTAATCTATGGTTACTTCATCCCTCTATATAACTATGGTTGCTATATTTATTTCAAGACCACCACAGGAATTTATTACTGGTGACACATAGTGAGTATAGAAGCAAAATTCACTTAGTAATCTTAACCAAATTGTGACTGCACTGACAATTTTCATGAAAAAGATCCTAGTTGCAGCAAATTCCCTCTTATACTACTGAAATAACAAAATATATACCCAGGCAGTTGATATGTATTACAAGGTAGTGACAAGAATTTCAGCTACAAGGCTAATATAAATTTTGAAGGAACAATCGAATTACCTCTGTGCAGAAATCTTGTTCACTTCCAATGTTCATCTGGCAGTAAAGTTAATATCCACAACAGCTCATGTTGCACTCTTTGACCAAGGAAAATCTTGAATATAAGAAGACATGATTAATATAAAATTCCATTTTCAACTATCTTAATTATTGTCTAGTTTTTGGTCAGCCATTCTATGGTTACTTCATTCCTCTATATATACATGGTTGCTATATTTATTCAAAGCCCACCACAGGAATATATCATTGGTGACACATAGGGAGCATAGAAGCAAAGTTCACTAGTAATCTTAACAAAATTGTGACTGCCTGACAATTTTCATGAAAAAGATCCTAGTTGCAGCAAATTCCCCTTATACTAAATAACAAAATATATACCTGGGCAGTTGATATGTATTACAAGTCACTACAAGAATTTCAGCTGCAAGGCTAATATAAATTTTGAAGGAACAATCGAATTACCTCTGTGCAGAAATCTTGTTCACTTCCAATGTTGATCTGACAGTAAAGTTCATATCAACCGCTCATGTTGCACTCTTGACCAAGAAAAATCTTGAATATAAGAAGACATGATTAATATAAAATTCCATTTTCAACTATCTGAATTATTGTCTAGTTTTTGGTCAGGTAATCAATGGTTACTTCATCCCTCTACATATAACTATGGTTGCTATATTTATTTAAAGACCACCACAGGAATTTATTACTGGTGACACATAGTGAGCATAGAAGCAATGTTAACTTAGTAATCTTGAACAAAATTTGTGACTGCCTGACAATTTTCCAAAAAAAATCCTAGTTGCAGCAAATTCCCTCTTATACTACCGAAATAACAAAATATATACCCGGGCAGTTGATATGTATTACAAGGTAGTGACAAGAATTTCAGCTGCAAGGCTAATATAAATTTTGAAGAAACAATCGAATTACCTTTGCGCAGAAATCTTCTTCACTTCCAATGTTGACCAAGGAAAATCTTTAATATAAGAAGACATTATTAATATAAAATTGCATTTTCAACTACCTTAATTATTGTCTAGTTTTAGCAGAAGGCACACAAACAGTAAAGTAAAATACTTAACTTTGACCAGACAGCACAACAATCTTGCTCAGAAAGGTCCGCGAACGGTCCACGTGTATACTTTTCTTCGGCATCGCCATTTTGAATTCGGCCGGGCGAGTCTTGAACTGATTTCTATTTTCTATTTCAACTGTTCTCTTGACGTACGTCTTGATAACTGGCTGTTGAGATAAACGTTAATGACAAAATGTTCAGTTCTGCTTCAGTCTATGGGTGCGGAAATTGCTCATGACATAAATTTTCAGTAAAAAATTATCATCATTGCAGGCAGAATTAAGCTCGAAACTTTAGATAACCTTGTACGCAGAATATTTCATATTGTATATGGCTTTTTGTTATTTCTGGCCAACAATTAGCAGAAGGCACACAAACATCAAAGTAAAATACCTAACTTTGACCAGACAGCACAACAATCTTGCTCAGAAAGGTCCGCGAACGGTCCACGTGTATGGGATCGCCATTTTGAATTCGGCGGCCGGGCGAGTCTTGAACTGATTTCTATTTTCTATTTCAACTGTTCTCTTGACGTTCGTCTTGATAACTGGCTGTTGAGATAAACGTTAATGACAAAATGTTCAGTTCTGCTTCAGTCTATGGGTGCGGAAGTTGCTCATGACATAAATTTTCAGTAAAAAATTATCATCATTGCAGGCAGAATTAAGCTCGAAACTTAGATAACCTTGTACGCAGAATATTTCATATTGTATATGGCTTTTTGTTATTTCTGGCCGACAATTAGCAGAAGGCACAAAAACATCAAAGTAAAATACCTAACTTTGACCAGACAGCACAACAATCTTGCTCAGAAAGGTCCGCGAACGGTCCACGTGGATGGTTTTCTTTGGCATCGCCATTTTGAATTTGGCCGGGCGAGTCTTCACATTCATCTTGACAACTAGCTGTTCAGATAAACCTATATACAACGAAAAAAAAGGGTTCGGCTCAGCTACACTGTACTCCTTAAGGAAGGCCTACGGCCTTCCCGTAGATTAGTGTAAAGGCCTACAAGTGGGAACTAGCAGCGTGCGGGGGACCAAAACGCTCTAGGCAAACGGTCCCCCTACTGGGGTCGGACAAAGCAACCGCAGATTACGCATATAATCGCCGGAACCCACCTTTTAGTCAACGGCGAACTCCTTCTTCCTCGAACAATCTTCAATCTTGCTGAGCTTCGATCTTGCTGTCCACCTTCGATCGCCACATATTCGAAGAAATTTTTTTTTAACGTTGAGATTACTTTTATAGGCGATAATTACCATGTGATCATAGCAGATCACGTGGTATGATAATGTACGACAACATACCGATCAACTCCGAACATCATCGTGAGCGATGTTACTATAAACGAATCACTAAACGCCTAGAAAAAAGTTGTCCTTTCCTATATATCAACCTTTTAAAAGCAGTGCATTCTAGTTTTGTTTTGAAGCACAATTTGTTTTTTGCTTCTAGTTTTTTGGTTTCGTTTTAAAAGGTAAATTGTCGCTGTGTGCTGAATTCTTTGTATTTCTGATGTCAAACAATCCTGTACTTTTTGGTATCATATTATATATAAGCTCCTTTGTTTTGGAGACATACAACAGTTTTTTTTTTATATTTTAGCCAAAACATATAGCAGCAATTACAGATTCACTAAGTTCATTCTCATCTTGATTCACAAATTTTTAAAGGACTTGAATCGATTCCATGCGGTCTACAATAGCTGGGCGAACGTCTAACACCTAAAGTCAGTCAAAGATTGTTGTATCTCAATTCTTTAGCTTCAGTGATAAACAACCGTTCATGAGATTCCATATTAATCGCCATCAGACTGAAAGAGAGAGAGAGATGGGTGGGGGGATGAAGAGGGAAATTCCATGTCCAAAATCAACTTTTTTAAAAGATACGAATACCATGCAGTCTTCTAACTGTTGATTCTGAAGATGCAATTACTAATGAGGTGTAACTATGTCCCACAACCCAATTTTGTAACTCTTTGTAAAATTAGAGCTCTGACATGAAATTATTACTATATACATTATCTGTGGGAAATGAAATTGTGGTCATCGTTTGAAAATTTATCTTCTATCATTTACAACAAAAAATTTGCCATTGTGAAACTGTGAAACAGACAACCACTGTGAAACAGACAACCATGCTAGGCACATTAACCATTACTGGTGTTTTGATTCGAGAGAGGCATTTATTAGAGAGAGATGCCTAATACAAACATATGTTGAAGGGAATGGTTTGAGACGTTTATATGATAGAGACCGTTTATTGCATCATTTACAGTTATGAGCGCAGTCAAATCAAGTCAGTAAAATGCTGGAATACCACGACACAAGTTACTCATTATTCAATAACCTATCAAGCTCATTTGCAATAATACAAATGAAATTATGAAAAGGAAGTAAGAAACTCACCGACCAATGACTGAAGTAGGTTTTCAAGGAAGGACTTTCTTATGAACCATGTTAAAATTAGTCATCTTTGAATTTGTTTGGATACTTCCTTCTAAAAATGCAATATATACCGACTGCAGTTAATAAACACCATACATCTTTAGCAATCCTTGTTCAGTTCTAGCCAGACAGTCTTTAATGCACAATTTTTAAAATTAATAAACATACCTTGTTATCCTGATCTCATTTACAATCTATAAGATATCAAAAGTTGAAAAGTTTTACTCATTTGTAAAAGTTATTGCAAGTAATCAGATGATAAAAGGCGAACATGCGAAGCTCGGTTTGTTGGATTCCCTACACAGTACACACGAATTTGAAATTAAACTAATAGTTTTTAATCGTTCACATATTTCCACGCAATATTTGTCCATCAGTCATCACAGTAAACCAAATTATGAGTAAAAGCAATCAGCTGTGACCCTTCCATATGTTAAATGAATTCGACTTATTAGAATTCGAAATTAAACAACTATTATAACCTTTATATCGTTTTCTTTCGCTTAAGATTACACTAAATAACAAAGCAAGGAGACAGGAGTATTTTCAATACCTTTTCCGAGTTTGTAGCGCCAACATTTTACGATCTTTTTGCAAGCAAAAACATTTCTTGACTGACCACCATATTGAATAGATCGAGAGAAGCATAGAGGTTATAAATAACACTAGAGGAGGCATTGGTATCAGAAACATCCACTGAGCTATATAAATAGCTCAGTGGAAACATCAGTCAAAAAAGGGAGCGCGATAATGGGGGGCAAATTCAAGTCCCGGATGCTAAGCCAAGCGCTGATTGACTAGATCAATACCTCCTTAGCAACCACGTTAGCAACAATTTTAAAAAAATTATATTCGTTATTTAGGTGGCTTTGCCGGTTTTTTAAGGAAAAACAGAGCTTTTTGAAACTGGTTCTACTAATTTAGACATCCTGAAATGATATTTTTGGCAGAAAAACATTTAGAAACCGAAAAAAATTGTTAAAAACGACTTATTTTGGCCTCGGACATCGTGAATGAGTGAACATCCGGGACTTGAATTTGCCCCCCATTAACGCGCTCCCCAATTTCTCCTCGATGACCCCTCTAGTGTTATTTATAATCTCTATGGAGAGAAGCTCATCGTGAACTGCGCATGTGTTAGGTTCAGCATAAATTATTACGTCATAGATATTATTACGTAAACTTCTTTTGCAGGTATATTGAGTAGACTGATCGTAAATTAAGAGGTTGCTACCACAACCCGGGGGCGCATTGGGGGAGAAAAACAACCCCCCGCTGCGCCTCCAATTGAGGAAGCAGAGAGGAAGGTTTTTAGAAAGATCCCGAAGGATCTCCAACGATACCGCCCGAAGGCAGCACCGAGAGAAGTGACCACAAAAAAGAAGGGTCAAGAAAGCGAAAGATGACAACCGAAAACCCTCAGAAGAGAAGAGCACACAACACACCGATACCCAATTAAAAATGTCTAGTATATATGTGACATAGCTCAGTGTGCTGATCGTAGGCATGACCATATTAGTTCACTGCGACTGCGTGGCGTTTTTTGCTATTCTATTTGCGTTTAATCATTTGCAATAGCATTTAGGTTTGTTCAAAAAAAGCAAAGTGAAAAAATTGAAAATTTCGTGTCGGCAGATAGTGTATATATAGCGAACGTAGGCGAACGTCAAAAACGTGCACGTCCATACATCATATGCCTACGTACATACAAGTCGCAAATGTAGTAAATTACGGCGCGTATCTATAACTGAACATGCACGTGCCTACATCGGATGTATACTTGTGGACTTTGAATCAATTTTTCATCCGCATAATGAACCCTTTTTTTAAGCAGGTAATTACCAAAACTTTCCAACAATAACACGAAATTCTCCCTGGAAGCCCAATAAAAAATAATCTTTTCTTTCGGGTCGTGACGAAAACTTTTTTCCCATGCAAGATTCGAACCACCATGCAACTTGCCAAGTGCGAGGCAATTCTCGTTACCTCGCGACTATTCCCTGTTTCAATAATAAACAGTATTTTTTATTTTACATAAATCTTTTTTTTCAAGATGCTAATGAGAAACATTCCGTCCAGCATTCGAACCTTTCCCTAAATAGACACGAGAACACCAAATTCTTCCTCGAAACCCAACAAAAAAGTGGGTCCCAACAATCTGTAAGCATCCAAGAGTCGACGGCTTAGTATATATGACATTGCTCAATGCGGTTATTGTGGAATTATTACTCGTTTACTGCGACTGCGTAAGGTTTCCTGACACTGAATTTGGCTTTTTTTTCGTTTTCCAATAGCGTTTAAGCATCTTTCATAAACGTAAAGTGTTCTTTTTCACTCATTGCAATTACTGCAACCTAAAACTGGTCGATTTCTTCAAGGAATGAAGTGAATTAAGGGCATTTAAAATTTTCTTGACATCATGCAATAGTCCACACAGTGCACGAATGACCACATGCATACATCATAAGCGTAGATAATTAAAGACAATACACTTACATGCAAATTCCCATGTCTCTGAGTCAATTATACTATAATAAAAAAACATCCCGGTTTCCGTTTCGGACCATAGTCTGACGGTTTGCAATACCGTTGTCTTCACCACTAGACCACCAGCGCTTGATGTTTAGAACTACCTTAATTTATTTATTTTATCTCAATCCTTTTAGAAAAAATACTAAAAAAGTTAAAAAAAAACTAAAGAAAATAAAAAACTAGAGAGAACATAAAATACTAAGGGAAGATACTTAGAGAAAATACCTGAAGAAAATACTTAGAGAAAATACTTAGACAAATAGAGAAAATACTTCGAAAGTAAATATATATTCATGTGACAAGTTTAGGTATATAAAGATTAGTAATAAAACCAAAGTGGCCATTGCTATTGGAAAAATCTGGCCGCAATTCCAATGCACTTCCAACGTAATGCCCGTACATGTACACGTCCTTATAATGATTGGAAGTAATTAGCAAATAATTGCAATTAGCATTGCTTCTATGACGTAACGCGTGAAAATAGTTTGAAGATGATTCAAAGCGGGACGAAATGAATCGCCGTACGAAATGGATAAATTTATTTTGTTTTATTTACTTGTGTTTATTTTGTCAAAACGATGCAATATTGGATGCTTTCGCAAAGTGTAAAAGGATTTCTGCTGGAACTCACAAAGAATGGAATGTGGATTGTAGAAACTTAGATTTTAAACATATTCCTAATGAAGTCGTTGATTTGAGCGTGAAAAAAATGTGAGTAAGAATATTATATACGAATAGATCATTTGTATTCTTAAAGCCAATAAACGGGAGGGAAACATTTTCATCGGTTTCTGGTTCAGTCCAGCCTCAAGAAACACCCTGGACAAGGAAGCAGCCGAAAACATGATGCAAAATTTAATTTTCATTACATTTAACCATATCCTGATTTTCTAGCTATCTTAGCGGGAATCCGTATGTCTGTGATTGTGATATGGCGTGGTTCCTGGACGCTCTTTACAGAAGATTTCCCAGTAATATCATCATCACAGATTTAGACCAAATGACATGTGCTATGCCCGAGAAACTAAAGGGGAGTCTGGTTAAAGCCATCAAAAAGCAAGACATCTGTGGTAAAGGTAAGTGTTGATCGGTCGAGGATTGATCGCATAGAAACGGCGTGTTTTCAATGGTTGATTTCTTTCGCTCTAGTGCTGCCATGTCGAGGTTTGAGGTGTTCTAAGTATGCAAAATGTATCAAAGATGCCACCACTCATGTTTATAAATGTGCTTGTAGAGCTGGGTATAAAGGAAATGGGGCTGTTTGCCAAGGTATAGGAGAACGTACGACTGTATGATAAAAAAATTGTACGAAAATTATTTTTAAAATAAGTTTACCCTTATCTCTTATCTTTTTCTTCTTCAGACTTGAACGAGTGTACCTTAGGAACCCACAGGCATATCTGTGATAATGGCCGCGAGAACTGCATTAATACAATTGGTTCTTTTGAATGTCGGTGTAAACCTGGATTGAAAATAAATAATAAAAATCAATGCGATGGTAAAGTTCTACATGTTCGTGATAACATAACAAGAAATATAAATGCTAAACGTCTCTGGTATATATAGAATATCAGGAGCCGGTTGTACGAATGCTGCATGCTAATTAATGCTATCCGCTGATTTTTCAAATAGTTTAAACATGTTTGAAAAGCAATAAAATCTCCAGATTTGGAGAGACCTATTGAAAAAACGCACTGAATCCGTGGTGGAAAACGCGATCTAGCTTTCGTACAACCGACCCCAGAGCCAGTCGTGTTTTGGATGGGTTTATACCGAAAAACCAGTGGCAGAGTTAATTATGAATGATAACGATTTCTCGCAGTTCCAGAACCGTGTGATGCCCTGTTTCACCCGTGTCCTGACGAAATCAGGGAAGTTTGCTCTAATGAGAAGAGGGGTTACAAATGCATTTGCAAAGAAGGTTTTAAAAAGAATGCTAAACACAGTAATTGCTCAGGTGAACTACATTACTTACAGCTAGCACACGGAAATCTTTAGAACTATATGAGAATATGACAAGCTTAAAATGCCATAAAACATTCCATTAAGAAACATTGTTTGGAGGTTTTTTGAGAAGGAGTAAAAAAATGGAAAAGCAAAAACGGGGACTAAAAATAGTTATGATCAACTTACTTTTTATATAAGGGGGCTTTCCGATTGAAATCATTTTCTTGTAAGCTGTTCATGGAACCAATCTGATGGGCAGCAGCCTGTGATTACTTTCTTCTTTTCCTCTTTAGATGTGAACGAGTGCGAGACGGAGAAGAGATGCCCCGAAGAAGCTTTGTGTATCAACAATATAGGTTCCTATCAATGCATATGTAAAGCTGGTTTTAGTGGTGATGGCAAGAAGTGTGAAGGTATCAGAACATAGTCCATATATTTATATTTCCACTACAGTGGCTGACAAAGTCATTTTCAAAATTTAACATGTTTGGATTCGATATAGATATCGATGAATGTGAAATAGGTGACCATGGATGTCCTAGCAATTCCGTCTGTGTTAACTCTGAAGGGGATTATAAATGTTTTTGCAACGCTGGATACGTCAAATCTGGACATTTGTGTGTTAAAGAAGGTAATGCTTCCCAAGAATCTACTGCATGTTTTGGAGGCCTAGGGCGGCCAGTAAGCAACATTGCATCCAAACATTTCTCTATTGTTTATCAGAGAAGAAGTTGAAAAATATGATCATTTATTATGGAGTACCGGGAGCAGTCGTTCTTCTCATATTTACAACCTGTTGTTGCTGTTGCTGTTGTTGTCGTCGAAGGTACGATTCCTACTACAATTTGAATGGTTCTTGCAAAAGGCAATCAATCTTTCTAATAAGCGAGACTGATTATAGACAGTAGAGGTCTTAGAAATGAGCAGTGATATTACTGGGAATAAACTAGGTATTCATCGGCACATTAAGATGCAATGCATGGTAATTGGGATCAAACAATCTGAATGCAATGTAGAAATTGAGAATGGGAAGAATTACTTGCCTTGAGACGTTTCATTCCAGATTTTATAGTTCCATCCCTGGATAACTTTACCAACATTGCTTTTCCACATCTCTATCACGCAATTAATGAACCAAATTACACTTTGCAGGAAAACTAAGAAATCAAAAGATCAATTGATAAGCGACCAAGAAATGCAGGCAAATCAAGATCTATTGAATTTAGCTATGGAGACAGATCCATTTCTACTACAACAACAGCAAGTTGAACAACAAATGTATCTTCTCGGAATGCAACAACCACAGGAGCAATACATGGCTTATTATAATGAAACTGCAATGCCAGGAACAAACAGGCGAGGAAAATCAAAGTTTTTTCATTGATAATAATTTCATCGGAATATAAACACACAACAACTATAGAATACCAGACCAAAAGGGTTTATTAATAATTAAGAGCTCTGTTAGAGGATCAATTGTTGTGTGGAAATACTGTTTACTTATATAAGTCTCTGTTCTGAGATCATGGCTCAACTATAATGCAAATGCAATGCAGTATGATTGAATTATATCAAATATTGAAATATTTCTTATGTTCAGGATTCTTGCAAATGACTCAACTATGACTACATGGTCAGATGATGAAGATTTATACGCTCAAGGCTATACCGATGACTATACAATGTACAATTGAGAAGCTATACAGCAATACAAAGGCACTTTCCTTATCTACATTGAAGTTCTTAATGAGAAATAAATATTTGCGGAATTTTACATGCACTTCCTTTTTTTTCGCGACGACCTTGAAAGGGGTGAGAGAGGGGCTGACAGCAAAGTACTTCACTTGCTAAAAACACGACTTTACAGATATTTTTATTGTGACTTTGTTATGGAAATAAATGGTCTCGAACAATCCGAAGCCCGGCTGTTAAACACGAAAGCTGATTAATTAAGTGACGAAATACGCATGCGCCTATTTCGTCACTAAATTATCATACGCAGCGTCGACAGACAAAGTTAACAAAAAAACGCAGCATGAAATGAACATTTTTTCTTGAAATCAGTTCTTTTCCTTTTTTATTTCTTTTGATATATTTGCACAACTCGATCAATCTAGTCGAATGTTTACAACTGGAATGCAAGCTTGACCACAAAACTAACATTTTGGATTGTAGCAATCGGAACTTGTCAGGAATTCCCGACGATGTACTTACAAAAGAATTCGCAGGAATGTAAGCGCCTTGATGCATTTTATGTTAATGTTATTGCAGTTAGATGCTAAACGATGTTGTTGCAGTTATGTTAAAGCATTCCACTTTACCATTGACAAATGCATACAATCTGAGATTATGAACAATATCTTTTGTAGAAAACTCGGAAATAATACATTCGTGTGCAACGCCACGTTACTGGACACTTTGGAAAGAATTAGGGACAGGAGCAGTATAATAGATTTAGAACCCTTAAATGCGGTGATCCAGAGGGTCTTCGTTCTACGAACATCGTAGAATTACTGGAGAGAAACGACTAGAAACTGCTGCAATACCTCGAATATGGAAAATATAAGGAAACGTAGTGCGCACAAATCGGGCCGCAATATATCGACCATACAACTGATGACTACAAAACCAACGCCAACAACAGTGTCATGTTAGTTCACTCTTCATATTTCGGGGTCGGGGAGAGAGCTTATGTTATCGCAACGGTGTTGCAATTAGAATTTAGAGTACAACTAAGTTTATGACGAATATCAAATTTATCAAATGAAATATTTGAATTTTCATTTTTTTAGACCCCTGTTTACCACCGCACGTACCTTGTAATCCTGAAAAGGAGATTTGCGTGAAAAGCAAGACGTCGTATGAGTGCCATTGCAAACCTGGTTTTAAAAGAGCGTCAGAAAGTGGTGAATGTGAAGGTACTATGATGCAGTTTATGATCTGATTATCACACAAACTTACATTAATGTCATATTCTTCCCGTCTTTTTTCAGTGTTCAACCCTTGCGGTGAAAAGAACAACTGTTCTAAACACGCTCAGTGTATAAACGAAATAGAGTTGTACACCTACAAATGTATTTGTAAAACAGGCTATGTTGGGAATGGCGTGGACTGTGTAGGTCAGTTCAACATGCTCAGTACTAGTTAATCCACATAGTTCAGCAAAAAACTAGGGACATCAAATCACCTCATTCGTGCCACCGGATTGTTGCTAGATAGTCTAGTGAAAGTCTTTATCAATAGGGAGGATGTGGAATCCAATTCTTTACTAATCCATGAATATTAGCTTTCCTGTGTTGATTGAGAGTGAAATCTACCAACAGTTCTTCTTCTATAGACAAGAACGAATGTGAAGGCAACGAAACTAACCAATGTCACAAGTTTGCGACGTGTGTGAACCAAAAAGGAGGATACAAATGTATTTGCAAGACAGGATTTGAACAGCACAAGGAAGGAAGACTTTGTTTAAAGAAAAGTAAAAATTCCTTAGAGAACACAATCCTGCTAAATTTCCAGACCAAAACAAGGACATTTCAACAATGTAGGACAACAGATTAAAAATTTTCTCTTCTTTTAAGACAAGATTGACATAAAGACATATGCTTTGGCTGGTTTGATCATTGGAATCCCAGTTCTAACGTTTGTCGCTCTTACAATTTATGTGTGTAAAAGGTAACGATAGAGACACGAAGCGAATTTTAGGTGTTTTATTGAAAGAACAACCGTTTTTACCCGCCATTTTATAGTACATCAAAATACATGCATGCTACCAGAACGTGTAAAACTGTTGCATACTGAAAGTCTGAAACTTTAACAGGCGCGTGAGAAGAAGAGCTATGACAAGAGAGGCAGAATACACCGCAGAAAATCCACCAAACGATGACACTATTCCTCCTGATAATCAACAGTTAATCAATACAGCTGGAAGTTACTATGAGGAAAGCATACCGATGAAAGGGTAGGAGAAGTGATAAACACAAACATGGCACATATTTTCAAACCACACGTCAGTGCAATGAACAAGGAGTCGATGTACATAATCATCTAAATATCCATTTTAGATTACCAGCATCAGAGTCAGCATGGAGCGAATGGCCGGACTACGATGATACCAGAGAGAGCGATTCCGATTAACAGTTGTGGATACGTGGGTACAACTATGGATCACTAGGAATGTTTGTTGATACTTCACTTTAACAATCAACGATTTGGAAAACGAAAATAAATGTATCTTTTGTTCATCAAATCACGAATGAATATTGAGATAATTAAACCCCGGCCGGGTCTAGTTTTCCCCGTGTTTAATCGCTGCTTAATCACAACAGTGTTCTGATATATATTATATATGGATAATTTCTATACATGTTCCTCCAATTACACGTATATATATATGCACTGTACATATTCTGCACCGTATTAATTCAACCACACGCATTCGTGATAACAACCCGAACTATTTCTCGGAAAATTGCGCGTTCAACCAGGCCAAGCCCCATTTGAGATTGGTGAGCATAAATTTCAAAGCTTTAGTCCAGTGCTCTTCAGAGTTGAACTGGATTCTATATTTAATCGTATTAATACGATATTAAAGGACTGCTGATATTGCGAACAAGTTGACATGATTTAAAATGAATTTCAAATGATGCTTACTTAATGGAGTATGATCCACCAGTTCCACTCGAGTCAAAAATTTTTCCATCATCCATTCTATACGACGTCAAAAAAATAGATCAACACACTTGCAAAAAAACAATATGTCTGGTCAATATGGGTTGCTTGAAAGATTTTTATGTTTGACTGAAAAAAGTTCATGCAAAATGTGGTTTGGTCTATTACCTGTATGGCAAACAGAAACGTTTGTCAACTTTTTCAACTTCCTCTTTGAACTAGAAAAATGAAAGAAATGAAAAATTCCCTGTCAAGAGCTTGAATATAAATAGTTAGCTGGTCACTTCAGATTTAAATCAATATATTATCAATATTATCAATATTATCAATAAATCAATATGATTCGGCATATTGTGTGCTTGTGAATGAAACTTACTTGCTGAAGACAGTCAAGAAATGCCACCATGCCATGATCAAACCTAGGAATAGAAAAAGAAAATTGAGATTTCGGAAGTGGAGATATTTGGACGCAATGAAGAACTTTGTACTCACTTTGTATCCCAAAAGAAACGGAAACCACCAGATGCATATCTGAAAAAACCCAGTAAAATTAGAATGAAAGACAAAATATGACAAACCTCATACACACTTACAAAGGTAATTCTTTAGATTTATCATCAAGACTTTCCAGGTATGAATGATTTCCAAAAGGTACCAGACGATATCTACACAATAACAATTTGATGTATGAAGGTTTAAACTGACCAGGAATCAGTCGGGAATAACCCATGCAAAGTGATCACACAACTGCGGTTTTTACTTTTTAAACTTGAGATTCATTTTCCTTGCTAATGCATGCAGCAGAAGAACAGTCTGTCCCCAAGCGGCATTTATTTCAGTCCATTCAACCTAAGAAAAAACAAAATCATCAAGAAATAAAAAGTAACTTTCAAGCTTGTCACAGGATTTGCTCTCCCAATGAAACACACCAGAAGCATACTGCACTTACTGGTACGCTAGGAAGTCGCCCAAGTCGGAAATTATTGATTGTGCCAAAATGTCCTTTGTACCTGAAATGATCACATTGGTTTCGATAAATTTGATCATACATATTGAAACTGTCCATTATATTTCGTATTTGATTGTCTTCACTAAAAATGCGAGATGAACATTTTCTTACCAAATATTGAAGGTACTGTTGAAGACGTTCGTTTTTTTGAGTTTATCTAATTGCATCTGTGCATTATGAAGCTGATTATCAACACTGAAACATATATTATTACGAATTAGGTACATTTACATTAGATGCACACTAGATGATCATCAAACAAACCAAACTATATCTACAAACCTTTGTTGTTCCTCCTGAAAATCCAAGAGTTGCTTGTGATGCTCGTTATACTGTATCCAATATCTCTCTTCTTCCTTGTCTAATCTTTCTGCTTCTTCTTTTTGTTTAGCAATTGACTGCTTCACCTTCGACCGTTCAATCTCAATATTTTCCAATTCCTAGTGAAAGGAGGGATAGTGGTGGATACCTAATGATACATATGATGGCTATGTGATGATGACGGGTATTTGTTGTGAAGATGGGTATAAACTGAGTGGATAACAGGGGTAAATAGGGTACATGAAGATACAGGTCAGTCTATATTACCTGTATCAGTTGAGATTCTTCCAATTTCAAATTCTCTAAATCTTTTGTCAATGACTCTGTGTCTTCTTCCTTATTGCTATCTACTTTATCCAAAAATTCTTTGCTATAATCATTGAGTTCATCTGTAGTGACTTTTAGTTGATGGTCTAGCAGATCTAGTAGAGTGTCCGTACATTCCTCACACAATGGATGATCGATGTTTGATTGTGCTGACATTATATCAAATAGTTGACTTGTCACCTGAAAAGAATATTAGGAATATTCTACCATCAATTCTCAAATTCAAAATATCATTGAGGAGTTTCATGTAGGCAACACTTTTACATCATAAACCATGTCTAACGCACACTGCAGAGCTATGTACATCCGAACTGGAGTTTGTATTGTAAACACCACTTTAGCATGGCCCTGCCCTGTTTTCATGGGTTTAGGTTTCCTAGCCAGGGCTTGGTTGAACTCAAATCAAGTTAAAGGGGTGTAAGCAAAACAATGTATTCCTAATCAAATGGAATTTATGAATATTATAATTGCACATGCAGTAAATCTGATCATAGACAATATAGAAAACATTTACGGTACCTTAAGTCGATGGCTAAGGTTATCTGATCGCACATTTTGAGCATCAATCAGTGTGAAACCATTACCATCAACAGACCTGCAAGTGAACAGTAAAATACATCGATCATTATAAACACTGTTGATACAATTTCTCATGCCAATAAAAATACATCTAGTCACCTTTTAGACGTAATTGTCCTCCTAACGACATTGTCATTCACCTCAGATATATGAACCTACATTTAAAAACATTATATCAGTCACTTTTAGTGGCTGGTTTCACATTAGCCATTAGGTGATGAATGAATTTCCAGGGCAGATAAATGAATTGTTTGTAATTTTCAGATGATTTAATAAAATAACTAAAATTATTGATACCTCATTTTTAGAATCTGTCTCCTTGCCAGTTGACTTATCAGTAGGTACAACTGGTAAACTAGGCAAAGGGACTATAAAATAATAAAAATTGTGAATGGGAATTTATGTGTATAACACGAATGTTATGTATATGAATCAAAATTATCAAATGTACAGTACATTTATATACAATGTTTATCCCATACTTGCATTAGTTACATTTGTGCATACTGTACAAATATTAAGTTTACGTACAGAATGAATATTATCACGACATAGACATATAAAAATGCTGTCAGATTAGCGCGAAAAGTAATTTAATGAAACTTACGTGTTAGCTCCGAGAGCGTTTCATCGTCGATGGAACTAAATGAGCTTTGGTCAAGACGTAATGGTTGAGAGCATCTTTGACACACAAAACTAACTCGTGTTGTACCGCGACTACCACTCATCGTTGCAAGAGACTACCTGCAAAGACATTTACTCTTTTTCATAGTTACATAGTTTTCTCAGTGTATTTGAATTTCACTTTTCACTTTTGGGACGCCATATTTGTGTCGCGTTGGTTTTATCAAATTCCCCCCTGTATATCTGCCTCCACAAATAAAATTATTAACAAATATCAGAAAAGGCAGGGGGGTGAAAACGTTCATGTTCCTTAGATTTTCAACTAAATTCCTAGGTTGGTCATTTAATTTGCATTTGCATCTTTGGTTACAATAAGATTACCAAATACAAATACTGGAAATTGTGTTAAAGAGATAAAACTCAAATGCGGTGTGTTTTAGTTGGAGATGCTGTGAAACTTTTTGCAAGGTCAATTCATTGCTTGGCAAAAATTGGTGATGAAATCTATATTGAGCCATTAAAGAAAGGATTGTCATTGAGGACTGTAAACTCTTCCAGATCTGCTTACGCATGTTGTTTGTTTACAAAAAGTTTCTTCCTAACTTATGACGAGAGCATTTCGAACCACCAAAGTCAGGATTCCCTTGATGAAGATTTCAAGTGTAAACTTTCCATGAAGTCTTGTCTGACCGTTTTTAAATCCCTTAACACTGTTGACAGAGTGGTTGATCAATGTACAATCAAAATCGACGATGACTTAGAACAATTGACATTCTTACTGTATTGCCGTCACGGTATTACCAAAACTTATAATTTATCATATCAAGACTGCGAAAGCTTACAAGCGATCTTTACAAAAGATCTCACACCTAATGTGGTCAATGTTCAACCAAATATACTGAATGATGTTGTCACGAATTTCCAGAATGCACATGAGGAAATCACCTTTGCAGTTTGTCCACAAAATTTAGTTGTTACTAATTACGTGGATGAAAGTGAAGATCCGTACGCAGTGATTAAGACTAAAATGGTGTTGGCTGCTGAGGAGTTTGACAAATTTCAAATTGGAGTGGACACTGAAGTTACATTTTGTTTGAAAGAATTGAAGGGGATAGTAACTTTTGCAGATTGGACAAAGGAAAACCTTGACATTCACTTTGAATCTGCTGGAAAACCAATTGTATTTAGTTTGGTCAATGATCCAACATTCGAAGCTAATTTTGTTCTAGCCACATTAATGGATTTGCAGGATGAAGAAACTTTGGAACTGTCAAACAAACCAGTGTCAAAGAAAGCAAATAAACCCAGTGAAAATCCAAAAAAAAGGCAACCAGGAAATCAAAGAACAAACGAAAAAGAAAGAACGGTTGAAAAACCAAGCAAACATCCCATAAAATCTCAACCAAAACTGGATCAAGACGAGTTTGGTTTTGATGATGATGATGACTGGACAAAGGAAGCAATCGCTATTGAGAAGAATCTTACCCAAGAAAGATCAAGAAGTACCGGAAAGAAACATCCAAATTTTGAGGATTCTCTTCCAAGCACTTCAACCGAAGTGCAACGTAATCTTATGGTAAAACAAAAACAGTCAGTTGAGCTCAGTGCATTACCAAGTGGTTTACTAGATTCTGAAAGCAGCTTGACTGTGGATTCTCTGAAGTCACCAGGTAAAAGCAAGTATAATCATATAACTGCTACAGCTAGTTCCAACTGAATGCACAATTGGTTTGATAATGTTGACTTAAAAGAAATCACATTTTCTTTAAGGGATAAGAGTAAGATCTGGCAAGAATAAAACCATGCAACTTGAAGACCAAGGACAAGAACCACATGATTTGGTTGACGCATCCCAGGAAAGCGTACCTGGCACACCACCAAACAAGAAGTTTAAATCCATGTTTTTCAGTGCAATAACAAGCAAGACAACTTCCAAAGAAAAGTCTAAGAGTACGTCAGTCGTACTAGTCAAAGACTCAGATGATGAGTCTGACTGACATTATCTAATTCACATATTATTCTTTATATTTATTTTCTATCAATAAAGGATAGCTGTTGCTTTTGACCATTTTGCTGTTGATAGGATTTTGTATTGGGAGATAAACACATCACTTATATTACAATTACAAAACATTTAACATATTCAATGCCACATACAATAGTCCTAAACTTTCTTTTATTTTGTTTCCTCTTTTTTACTTGTGTCTTCTTTCTTATTGCCAGGTTTATCCTTTTTCTCTTCCTTAGTGTCTTTATCTTTATCTTTGTCCTTAGTTTTATCCTCTTTCTTTCCACTCTCTTCTCTCTCTGCATCTCGATTAGCAACTTTGTTATTTATAAGATTATGTAACGCAATTATCACACGAACAATTGAAGCCGTATATATGACCAACATCTGATCGTTGGTTTTCACCGACGTTGCTTTCACAAGCTCAGCCACATTCAGGTCAGGCAATAGATTGAAAACATCTTGTAGTTGGTAGATTATGGTGTGATTCACAGGCAGTGTACCCATCACTACCTTTTCCAAGTAATTTCGGATATCTTGAAGATGCTTATTAAGTCCTTTTAATGAGGTGAGTTGGCTCGTAATACGTTGTGACAGGGTGCCTGCTGTTAGGTTTCTTATATCACTGAAAGTTAAAAATTATGACGTTGTTAACCATATGATGTTGTTAGCCTATTTCAAATATCACAAAAGGTATGAAATGGAAAGTATGAGAAGACATTCACATACCGTAACAAGTGTTCTACGCCAACTTCTTCAGCTTCTTCAGCACCTATTTCGCTAGGAACATGTTCAAATGTTTTGCTTGTTGGAGTGCCATCCTATGGAGAAATCAAAGAATGATTGGACTTCCATCACCACAAGATCTCTACCACCAGTTTTCCTCACAAATCATCAATAATATCTTCTGAAAGTCGTATTATTTTAACAGTTTGACACCTCTGTGTATATTCAAGTGTTTACAATGTACTCTTTCCACTATTGATGTCCAACCCAACAAAAATAGTGTGAAATCTAACCTGGACCTACAATGACTGCTAAATATCCAATAATCTGTATGTATAATCAGGATACTTACATCATGCACCTCCTCAACAGCAATGTAAGCTTCGGTCGGTAATCCAAGATCTTTTGGTTTAGCGTCAATTATAACTAATACCTGCAGAACAAACAGTAGGTATTACAAGCAATGAACTACACTTAGAATAAAATGTGGTAATGCATTGTAACTGTATGGATTATTTAGTTCACTACTTACCGAATTGCTACAATATCTTTGGACAAGTTCATTGATTTTTGTATCATTTTGATGTAGCTTTGGTCCTGTGTGATACCATCCAACAATTTTTTCACGTGCTAAACAGATAAACACACAATTTATATACAATGTTAACTAAGTATTTAAGAGCATTCCAAATCATTAATTTCACAAACCGTTCACTTTCTTAAACATTGTGTACATATTCTCCAAGTAATCATGATCCAAATACCAAACATCCAAATCACGTTCATCTTCGTCAAAGGGAACTACAAACAGAGTTGATTGCATCACTTTAGCATATTACTTTGTTTAACACAAGACTACTTTCTAATCAGCAAGAGGGTAAGGCCCCCGTCAGTCTCTCTAGCTTATCCTATACTTGAATATATAGGTGTCTCATTTGTCAAATAGGTGGGATTCAACTAACTGACAGGAATTCCTTGTCAATGACAAGGTTTAAGAGACCTAAATGGATTGTATGAACTACAACAAATGCCTGTGGTATAGCTAATGCTAATAATAGTTCTCTAAATATAGACCTTGGTATGGTACAAGCAGTTAAACAGCACCAAATACTAGTATTATTTCGTATTCTTAGTTGAGAGGTCTAACCAACCTTTGTAGTTCTGTCAAATTTTGTTAATTTTAATATGATAGTGCATATTATGGTGTATAGTGGTCTATACTATATTTGACTCTTAGTTATATCTACGTATATAAGTATTTTAAATACTATTTTGAATCAAGAAAACAGTGATGATTACCTGCAAAACTATTAGACACATCCAGTATTCCTTTTCTATTCGCCCCGAGAAGGACACCGACAACTCTACGTTGACTTCCCGCTGTACTAACGCGATTGAAATGGTCCACAACACTTAGTAAAACCAGTGGATGAACAACCACCTTCGTAATGCCTTCTGCTGGTGGTGGCATGGCAAAAGCGTTGAAGAAAGATATATTTTCTAAGGATCGGAAATAAAACTTTTTGTCTCAAAAGAAAATGTATAAAATTTTTGAAACATGTGAGACTCTCTGCGCACGCGCGCACTTGTCAAAGTTTCCACTTCGAACTATGCATTTCAAAATTGAGTGATTTATGAATATTACAAGTAATATTTAAAGTCATATTTGACTTCAAAAATCTTCAATCACTTCATCTTAACGATCTCATTCTCTAGAGATCGTAGATATAACTCTGTTATTTATTATCCTAATGCTCAGTACAATACAAAAAAGCGCCCTAATACAGTTTGCAACTCGTACAGAAGATAGATTATTGAGTTTTAAAGTGTGTAGGCTAGCAATAGAATTTCACTTCGCTTCAAACATACTTCAATCTTTCCTCTTTGCCCTAAAAATTTATTTACTCATTTAAAAAGCAAAAAAAAGTTTCAAGTCTAACAAATATGCACAAAATGCTAATTATTTCTCTAAGTGGAAACACGAAGAGAAGGAAACTAATGTAATTACAGTAAAGTTTTATAGGTCAGTGTTTTCTAAAATAAATAAACAGATGTGCGTACTATAGAAAATGTTCTGGATGAAATTGTGTCTAAAATACTTTTTGCACTAAATTCTCGCATCGATTTAACGGGGTTTTTTCCCGGAGACGAAACAACAAGCAGAATAACGTTTTGAGTTCATTTCCGTCACAAAAATGGGCAATAAAGTCGACACAATGGCTGCACATATTGAGACAGCTAAGAAAACTCGAGTGTTAAATTGCTCTGGTCGGAAGCTAAGAGAGGTGATTAAACACGTTAATGATATAACTAGAATGATTTCCATAAAGTTGATCTCTTTTAGAAATATCTTCGAATATACTAAAGTTAATATAAATGTATGCAAAGAATGTTTTACAAATAATTGTTACAATTTGGAATGGTTTACACAGTATGTTTAGGGCGTGGCCAGGGGCTATGTGAATTAGGTCATCTTTCTGGAAATGCAAGATGTGTCCATAAAGCATGATAATAACAATGTCTGCTGAGTATCAAATTTCTTGAACTAATATATTTGAATGTTTAGATTCCTACAGCCGTAATGAGTCTGGCTTCAACTGTCAGGACAGTGGATCTTTCAAACAATAAATTAACAGCAATTCCTGCATCACTGGGGAATTTTACTGAACTAAAACAGCTGAATGCTGAGCATAATGAAATTGGTATGTTAAAGTTGCACAAGAGGTTTTGACTCCAAACATCCTAACATCCACCTTGACCTCCCTTACTCTCTATCTTCCCTCCATATTATCCCTCATTGTATATCATCTCTCCAAATCTCTCCTCATAACTCTCCCTATATATCCCACAATCATCCACACATAATTATTTTTACTTTCCAGATCACTTGCCAAATGAACTGACAGGAATGAAAAAAATTGAAAATCTACAATTGGGTTACAATCATATCAATGAAATCCCATCTTCCTACTCAAAATTTGTGAACTTGAAATCTGTACATTTACAAAGCAACAAACTGACAGTTTTCCCACAATTTCTATATGAACTTAGGCATTTAAATGTCGTTGATCTGTCTGAGAATAAAATTACGGAGTTGCCTGAAAATGTTGAAAAACTCCAATGTATTGAACTTAATATGAATGGGAACCAGTTAAAAGGGATTCCTACTTCACTTAGCTTGTGTCCACGACTCAAAGTCCTAAGAGTTGAAGAAAATCTGCTGGAACTTGCATCTATAACTAGTGAATTTCTGAGGAGTTCTCAAGTTTGTGTGCTAGCAGTTGATGGAAATTTGTTTCAAATAAAAGATCTTACAGATAAAGATGGTTATGACCAGGTATGATCATTCGAATCATCTCTATTTATTTTACAAGATTTGTATTGTCAGTTGCCTTAATGGTAATTTTTGTTTGGAAGTCACCATAGGGACTAGGCAATTACTTTTTATTTGGTGTATTACCTGACTAGTTATCCATGTAATCTAGCTTATGAATTTTTTTCTTTTCTCATTTCATAGTACATGGAAAGATACACAGCAAACAAGAAAAAGTTCTTTTAATTGACTTATTCATTAGCTACACTCTGCTATCATGTAAATGTAAAACTCTTATCTGAAGAGCAGGAATGCCCAGCTGGAGCAAAAGACGAACTCAAAGAACATAAAATAACGAGAGATATTTAAGAAGCGTAGTAATATTGTAGATAACGTAGAAAACATATTGAAACCGTGAATAGCGTTACTTAAATCATAACTGATTACACAAATTTGCTGTGTAAACTTTGGTTTCGATATTTTTGATATTTAACATCAACAAAAACTGTTGATGTTTAAACCATGTAATCTGAAAACAATCGCAGGTTGTGTTTTAAAAGGAGATGACACTTAACACCACCTGTTTAGCGGTTAAATAGCGAAGAAGCCAAGAAAGTTCTTAAAGGAAAAAAAAGAAAACATTACAAAGCGTCTCTCGCTAACGAATCTTTATTCCTTAGCGTGGCTATTTCGTTGCTATGTTAAATACAGTTGAATCATGTATTTCAAAGTTTCATAATATCAGAATTGAAATCTTTAGATGAAATATTAAATCCAATCATTACTGACATTAGTGACCTGTCTGGCAACAGGTGTCACTGAGCCTTAATTGGCCCTTGTGACGTCCTGTGGTAAGGTTTTCCCTGCCACAAATCAGCAAATCTTATGCTTTCAAACCATGGAATGAAAGCTACAGTCGACTATTTGAAGCCCTATGGCATTTCGCAAATGGAAATATATTCCAACACTCGCTTTAATAGGTTGGATGGTCGTCGTGAGTTATTTTGCCTTCACGGATTTTGACAAATGCGGGCCAGAGACGAATCAGCTACGAAGAGCAAAGCGGGTTCTAAATAAATCAAATCTATTCATAGACAATCTACAAGCGGAAATAAGTTCACTTAAAGAACAAGTCTCGAACCTTCAGAAACAATGCAAGAAAAAATGTCCGCTTGTGAGACCCACGATAGAAATGAAGGATTCCTCGTCTCAAAGAACGACGCATCGGGTGAAAAGTAGTAGTACATCTACAAAGCCATCTCACGACCCGAGAGAACCTCTGGGCGACAGCATTGCGCCAAGAAATGCATCAGTTGAACGATTTGAACATAAAACAGAAGCTCCAAGCTTGAAGCTGGAAAAAATAAGACGAAGGGCAATGAAGGAGCATCGTGAAATGTGGTATTATCTTAGCGCTGAAGTCACAAAAATTAACAAAAACTTAGGAAGTTCTCTGAAAGCAAGATTAACGGAAATGTTGGATAACTTTGCGGAAATGCATCGAACTTTGGGAAACAACCTCGACAGAATAAACAATCATGATTCCCTGTTAAGCTGGCGTAAGAAAGAGCAAGCGAAGCTTAGCAAACTAGTACAAAACCGTTTGAAGCGTTTACAGAATCCAAAGGACTGTAATTCCGCACGGAAACTGCTATGCGATTTGAACAAAGGCTGTGGTTACGGATGTCAAGTGCACCATCTTTTATATTGTTTTATAACCGCATATGGCACTAAACGAACGCTAATCATAAACTCTTACGGCTGGAGATATTCGGAAAAGGGTTGGGAGGGTGTATTTGTACCAGCCAGCAACACATGCACAGTTGCTAGAGGACAGCACGAAATGTGGTCAGTAAATTCTGAAAACAGTAAGATCGTTCAACTACCAATTGTCGATGGCATATACCCCGAGCCCAAACACCTACCTCTTGCGGTTCCCAAGGATTTAGTAGAAAGAATCCAGTCGTTCCACGGTTTCCCCTTTGTGTGGTGGATTGGACAGTTTGCCAAGTATTTGTTCCAATATCAACCTAAAGTTAAGCAAGAAATTGATGAAAAAAAACTTAAGTTAGGTTTTAAAACTCCGATTGTAGGGTAAGTGAAATGATAAATGTTTGTTTTGTCTAGTAATGTGGAACTGTACTTACGATGGATTCTAAACTGTTCTTACTAGAGGTTCAGTAAGAATCATCTCTTATTGATCCAGTTTTACTACAGGAGGAAACCTAAACTAAACTAACTTTATTTATACAGGATAGCTCTATCAGTTCTAAACTGTTCATCTTAGAGGCCCAGTAAGAATCATCTCTTATTGATCCAGTTTTACTGCAGGAGAAAACCTAAACTAAACTAACTTTATTTATACAGGATAGCTCTATCAGTTCTAAACTGTTCTTCCTAGAGGTCCAGTAAGGATCATCTCTTATTGATCCAGTGTTACTAAAGGAGGAAACCTAAACTAAACTAACTTTATTTATACAGGATAGCTCTATCAGTTCTAAACTGTTCATCCTAGAGGTCCAGTAAGGATCATCTCTTATTGATCCAGTGTTACTACAGGAAAACCTAAACTAAACTAACTTTATTTATACAGGATAGCTCTATCAGTTCTAAACTGTTGTTCCTAGAGGTCCAGTAAGGATCATCTCTTATTGATCCAGTGTTACTACAGGAGAAAACCTAAACTAAACTAACTTCATTTATACTGCGTTCACTTTAATGTTGGATTCTCGCCTTAGTATTCAAACGTTTTTTTCAGAATTCACATTCGTCGAACAGACAAAGTCAACGCCGGCGAAGCGGCTTACCATTCAATCGAAGAGTACATGTACTGGGTTGATTTGTATTACAAGAAACTTTCTTTATCACAGAAAGTTGATCAGAAGAATGTTTATCTGGCTTCAGATGACTTCACTGTTCTGTCTGAAGCAAAGAAAAAGTAAATACCGATTATCGTTGTGCTTTGAGCGAGGTTTATATAATAGTAGAAAAACATATTGTGCACCACTCGATCCTGTCCTAAATCTCAGACGAAATCTATTAGGACATCTATTAGTTTAATTACTTTTTGCTTATTTTCTCTAATATATTAGGGTATTTAAGACATGCGTTGTATCTTTTCAGGTATCCACATTATAACTTTGTAAGTGATAACGAAATCTCGAAGTCTGCTGGAGTTAATGAACGATACAACGAGAATTCACTTCATGGATTAATTTTCGATATTCAAATGCTCTCCGAGTGTGATTTCATTGTCTGTACGTTATCGTCACAGGTAAAATATTCAAAGATGCTTTTTGTCGAAACTTTGAGAGGGAATAGTTTAGATCTGATAGCTAAAATCCAGTAGAGAGGATTTTTTACCTTTTCACCTTTCTTCTTCAATTAGGTATGTCGTGTCGCCTATGAAATGATGCAGGCTAATTCACCAACAGACGCTTCAGAGAGAGTTCAGTCACTCGATGACGTGTATTACTTTGGTGGACAATCTGTGAACGACGTTCAAGCAGTTTACTCATACAAAGCTAAGAATTATAATGAAGTGAACATGAAACCAGGTGACAGATTGAAAATTGCGGGCAATCATTGGGACGGGTTCTCTAAAGGGACTTCGAGGGCGAACGGTAAACTTGGAATGTTCCCTTCTTATTTAGTAGAGAAGTATGTTCATATTGTAGAGTTTCCTGATTATTCAGATTTTGATAAAGAGTTGGAATGAATCAGTATTTATTATCGCCGATTTGGCGTTCATATAAGTCTAGTTTATTAGCAAATAATCGTGCAGAAAATGATGGTCAATGTTACAGCAGTACTGCATTTGGAGGCGAGAACTGATAGAATTGAGAATAAAGGCTAAATTTTTCAACCCACACGAGACGATGGCTGGGTATTTTCACTGACATGCAGTTGTTTAACGTGACGATCAACGTGCAGACTCGATAGAATTTATTACGAAATCATGAGATTATTTTTAATTATATTTAATCGAGACTTTTATGGGACAAAAGCAGCGATTAACTCCACATTTCGCAAGCCGAAGATACGAACAATCATTTTATGCACATAGGTCATCCATGTCATTGTATTAAAAATAGGTTTAATTGATTATCATATTACTAAATATTCATAAATTTAACGATAATAGATAAATTTTTATTTATATCGTTTTTTAATTGCTGCTGAAAATTATTTATAATTATTCTGAAATTTTTGTATGAACATTTCCAAGCATTCCAAGCAAGTTAGGCAAAAAGAGGAATAAAAATATTTCTTAAATTGGAACCCATGCAGCAGCTGTGTGTTATCGTATGTATCTTGTTTAGTCCCTAAAGATTTTATAAGATTATAATTTAATTAGAAATGGCGACTCGAACGATCGGGAACTTTTGATCTAAACAAACTTAATTGATCTTGCAGGTTTTCTAAATGGAAAAACATAAAAAACAGGAACTATTGATGTAAACTGACTTAATCTAGAATTCTTTTATCTAATGAGCGGCAAATATGGTATCGCGGTGCCTCCCCTTCTCCGAAAGATATTTACAGCTGAATATAGCATTTCTAAGAACGTTGACTGAAGGCGAGTATAGCATTTCTGAAAACGTTGAAAGCCGAGTATAACATTTCTACGAACGTTGAAAGCCGAATATAGCATTTCTGAGAACGTTGAAAGCCGAATATAGCATTTCTTAGAACGTTGAAAACCGAATATAGCATTTCTTAGAAGGTTGAAAGCCGAATATAGCATTTCTAAGACGATGAAAGCCAGGTATAGCATTTCTAAGAACGTTGAAAACATTACTTCATTGTGCCGGGAACTGCTCCTCCATCACCCTCTCATACAAATGCCCCCTCATTACACAATGTTCTCCCCTCACCCTCCACATGAAACCACCCCCTTTCCCCACCCACACAGTCTTTCCCTGCCCACACAACTCGCCTGCATACACAACCTGCCTGCCCACACACCCCGCCTGCATACACAACCTGCCTACCCACACACCTCGCCTGCATACACAACCTGCCTACCCACACACCTCGCCTGCATACACAAACTCCTTTTCACACATGCACATTCATGAACCTACAATCATAGACAAATTTGCTCGGACAAGTGTGAAAGAAAGAAATTATCAGTGACAAATATTTACATATCCTTTATAAAACTGACCCCCTCCCCCCCCGAAACAATGTTGATAAACACTTGAATTGTTATGGCGATTACTGCAATACTATTCCCAAAACATTGTACAGGGGAGCAGGGAATACGACTGCATGCGAAAAATAATTGATAGACCTAAAGTTCAGCCATTATAAATAGCGTCCGTGGTTTTTGTCTAGGATTTTAGAACCTATAGCGTTGGCTGTCGTTCATTTTTTCAATCTCGAAGCCCTGTGCTTCACCGGATTCTTCTCGCGAGGATAAACAAATGATGTCAAACATTTACTTTGAGTTTATCCTACGCCTCATATTAATATATCTTCGTCCACGATCAACCACCTCTTACCATACAAATTAGGTGACAAATGAAAAAAATTCGTCGTCTAAAACATATTTGTTGCATCACAATCGACTTAAGCGTACTACCTAAAGATTTATCTTTGTTCATTGATTTGTCCATGCAGTAACACGAAATAAGCATTTTAGGGAGAATATTAAAATACTAACGAATGTCTGCCTCAAAAACTATATAAAGTTCTTGGACACATGTTCTCGATTTTTTTTATGTTATTTCTCAAATTTTATCTTTCTCATATTGGCTGGTCTGAAGTGAACTCATTAACTTGACTTCGCCTATATTGGGAAATTGGGAAGTGAAGTATTGGGTGATTGTATGGACCGTCAATAGAGCACCCACATTTCCTTTGTGTTGCAAGTGAAATTGCATGGCACTAAGTTTTGGTCCAGCTTCCTCCCCACACTTTTGAACAAGTCCCAAGGTCCCTAAACGCTCAAATGTGGGGGTATAGACCTTGAGGGAAGGCACAGCTAACAATCTACAGGGCCCCAGCCCCAATGTGGGCGGGGGAGGTATAGACCGCGAAGACCCGACAGAACGGTGCTCACCTGGTTGTTTTGAAGTGCATTCTATGTCCATTAGCTTAGTACAGGATTCCATGCACGTGGCCAAAATGCACGTGCCTGCACACATGTCAGCTTCGTACTGCAGCGAAACTACACTGCAAGACTGTGTGACTCTCAGCGACTGGCAATTTTCAATTTCTTTTGTCTGAAAAAGCATAAATATTTTAACGAAATTATTGACAACGCATTTCATTCTTTTAAATACAAAACGGAGGAAATACTTTCAATTCATCAGCTGATCAGTGCGAAGATTGTAAAATTCAAATGTGTTGTCTACACAATATCGGGCAGAATATCGAAAGAAGGTGGACAGGTAGACACAATTATTAAGATACAAAACATGCTGACGTTCAAAACTGTCTCATTAAGATGTTATCACGCAAGATTTGTACATTTAAAAAGCGCAAAACGTTTGCATTCTTGACAAGTAACGTTCATGTAGTATACGACAGTCTTCCTTTGAACCGCGCAAGAGTAGTTTTAAAGAGCTTGGAGCCCGAGTTTCACCTGATGCCAAATTTGGAAGGTATTTTCACCTTTTTTACAGTTTGCTTCTTAAAAGGTTTTCGCGCCATTCTTGCAAGTTGCGTCGATATATTTTACGTAAGCAATATTATATGTTTAGATGCCGTTGGCTAAACAAGGCCTCAGTCTAGGCTGACACTTCTCTACGCTTTGTTTTTATAAGCTAGATGTTTTGAAAGGTATATGTCAGTAAAGACGAAAACGCAGCTGTGCAAATTCTACCCACTAAATAAACAGCAAATTTCATGAATAAAAAACAGACTTGCAGGAGTTGACGTTGTATAAAATGCTAGTAAAAGATGAATCCAGTGTAATGTGAAATAAACAGCGAGCACCATGCAACGATTGAAATTTTAGAATTATTTGATTGCAAAACTTAAAAATTACGTAAACGTGAAAAATCCCCCCACTCTTGTAAGTCACATTTTTTAAGAGATATGCAGAGCTGTCAGTTGAAATACCGGTGCCATGTTTATCAGTTTTGAGTGTTGTTGGAATGTTGCTATTTCAAGCCGGCGAGGATTAATCCGGTAATCCACAATATGAAATAAAACAGTGAGTGCACATTAGTGATAACAGTTATTAAAGATCGCACACAATCAGTGTTTTTGACATTAACCGGAAGTATTTAAGTATAATGAACGTTTTCAAACTGAAAACTTTGCTCGTTTTAAAGCTCCCCAGAATCTCACAGAGAAAACAAGGAAATTCGGTTGAATTCTTCGGCCAAATGGAAGCTTCATTTAAGAAATCGCAAGGTTTATAATAGAAATGGGTCGTATGTGAGGGAAAACGTTGGAAGAATGGCTGAATGATAGTTCATTTATCCGTAAAAACGAATAAACTGCGTCTATTTAGAATAACTTGCGCGGCGGCGACTATCATTAGTTTAGGAGGAGAAACGACAGGGAAATTTTAACAAACCAAGGTGTTTTGCACCGCAGTCAAATATCAGCTATAACGTATTCCCAACTTTTTCAAGTTCTAAATCATACAATCTTGTGAAAGTCAAGTCGACAAACTGTGTTAGAGCGCGAATATTGTTCACGTAGCGGAGCCGTAGGGAACCTAATTATCACTCTCCAGCTGTGAATTAGATGGAAGGAGATAAGATTACTCCAGACAGTCTTAAGCCATTAAGTCCAGTTTTTATATTGTTTCATTGTGTGCTATCTCTTGCAGTTAAACAGCATCAGATAACCATCAAAACAACAAAAGTATCGAAGAAGACTCCTTTCTCGTTCTGCGTAAAACACCTTCATAACACTGAAATCACAAGGTAGGCTATCATTAAGGTTTTACAAGGCGTTTATTTAGTGGACCTTTTGTAGCGCTTTTTTCGTAACTCGAGTTTGACATTTTACTGTTGTCATTCAGTTACTTGTCAATCCATTCGGTCAGTGGCAATTGTTACGTATTTTTCATGCTAAATTCTTTCTATATTCCTTTTTCTATAAACAGGACACAAAGCATTGTTTTATACTGTTAGAATCTGCTTCATTATACGCTATCTAAAACATCCATTTTCAATGAAACCAGAGATTGTGTAGATAAAATTTCAGAATGTGCATTCACGCACGTTAATTAGATAATTCTAGTGAACCTGTGAGAATGCAACCATGACAACAGTTGTGAATACCCCCCATGAATGCTGGGCCCCTGTGGCCTGTGAAGCGCATGACATCACAAGGTCTAATGGTGTCGCCATAGAAGATAATGATACTACGACAATGTGAAACTGGCTGCTAACTTAAAAGGCTAAAAGCAGCTATACCATTGGCAATTGCCAGGAATTAATATGTAAACATCGTTAGCACGAATTCACCACAAGAGATTTATGAGTAAACAGTTCAACAATGTAAACTCGTTAATTTTGACTTGTCTGCATTCGGGCCAGCTACGATCACGTCAGCAAACCATACATGCAGCCAAGGTAACCCCGTTTCAAGAGCACTCGCTCTGTCCACACTAGTGAATGCCTTGGAAACGATGTAAACATAGAGTGGAATTATTCCCTACCAATCCTTCGTTTGCAAATTTAATGCAAAACATCCTTTTTAGTAATCCTAGAACCCAGCCTAAAAAAACCGTGATAAACGTAAGTACAACATTAGCGGTCAAACCACACGATGTTTTCTTGTGATAACTCTTATCACTTTGATATCGTGAATGAAATGAAGAGACTCTAGAAATAAACACAAGCATGCGCGTGCCAACCATCACAGAAATACAATAGCTCTTCGTTTAAGAAAAAACAAAAGATCAGAATCATTTGTTTCAAGTCCATTCCACACGGCCTTCTGCTAGTAGTTTTGTCCCTGTTTTCAAATTTTACTCTCGTGATATGTGGTAAACACTGCATTCTGGATTCAATACTCTTTGTTATTTTCTGCATAATTCGTCTTAAATGAAAACATTCATCTGAAGATTACACTCTCATGGCGTCAGAATAACCTGAACTACGTTGAGATCAGTTTTGGACAATACGTACTGAATTTTGATAACCCCTCTGCCTTGCAGGGTAGACAGCCCTAGCCAGGGATCCAGGTCCGACATTCTCGGTTGCAGGGGCGAGGGGGAATATACAATAGTTTTTTTTATTTGAGATAATGTTAAAAAAACCCGAAGTTGGCGTCCAAGCTAAGTGTTTTATTATCACCAGGACTGGAATTCATGACGGGGATCGAATGGATAAGAAAACCTTTTGTAAAAATAACAGGAATTGCAATGCATGTGAGATAACAAGACCGACTCACAAATACGAGTGTCTGCTACGCTTACAGTTTCTTCATCATCCACAAATTTCTTGCAATCTTCTAGATCGTTAACGACCTGTAGCGAACGTTTATATGACAGATGGATCTTCCGAGAATCATCGAGCTGACTGTTGTTGGAGTCATCTTCTTCTTCGGGGTTATTTTCAACTGCATCGTCATTCGTAGTATCAGCCTGGCGCGAAGCTTGCGCGGAACGATCCCGTATAATACGAAAAAGGACTGCACTAATCTGCTGGTAATGAACCTCGCTGTGGCTGACTTGCTTATACTGCTTGTGAGTTTACCGATGGATATCATACCAGAGCATATATCATGGCCATATGGGACGATTGTATGCAAGTTTGTTTCACCAATTCAGGATATTTGCCTAACAACGTCCGCGCTTACCTTTGGTGCGATTGCTGTGGAAAGGTATTTGCTGGCAAAAGGAGTCACACATCAAGGCACTCGCAATGCAAAATTTGTAAGAGTTTATAAAGTAACTTCTTCTGAATAGCTCTGTACACGATCCAGAATGATCCCGCATGATCCTTAACTTTCTAAGGCATCCTCTTCCGTCCTGAACCTGTGGAGTGGCACTACACTGAAAATCCACATATTCACGACACGTCTTCGTAGTCATGACTGGGATCGTGCTGCCGGCATGGCTAACAATAGTCTTTCCATATTTTTTAGATCATAGCTGGGATCTGGCTCGCTGCATGGCTAACAATGGGTCTTCCAATGGCATTTTACAAGCAACTCATTAGAGACGAAGGCAGGATAGAATGCGACATAATCTGGCCCAACAAATACGTCGCTGATTTCTTTCTTTATTACATGATTGTTCTGATCGCAGTTTGCGGAATAACTGGAGCGTGCGCGTATTACGGGATACGACGAAGCCTCGGGAAGGTGCAGCAGATTTACGAGAAGCAAAGTGCGGTAGAAATTATCGATCGAACGAACCAGGAAACGCTCGTCGAGCAAGTCTTGAAGATCTCCAACCTCATTTGCGTTCTCATTACCGTGTTCGTGATCTGCGTTTTCCCGTTTCCGTTATTCGCGGTGCTCTTAGAATCGGGCGTGCTCGAGAACTTTCGTTATAACTACGCTCTTTATCTGGCCACCTCGTGCTTGCTCTATGGTAACTGCCTGGCTAACCCGTTGATATTAATGTTCATGAGTAAAGACGCACGAACTGTGTTGACTGAACGAAGATCGTTGACTCGGCGTAACGCCGGCACAGAGAATATAAAATTAGAACATGCATGAAATAGTGGATTAAATGTGAATGAAATTCAGATTGGTTGAAAATATGTTCAGCATTCTGAACAAGATGCGGAAGAGCCTTAAAACTAGGGAATAGATCTGATATTGAGCATTAATGGATAATGGTAGATCACGAGAACAAGGTACACAGACGATTAAAATTCTCATCAAATGAATAATAATACTCACATGAAGTCTTCGTCTGCTACTGCGAGCAACGATCTCCATAGTTCAGCGGTGAGTGAGTGCAGTTTACTTCGGAATCACAAAGGCTTGATTTCTGGCGGAGGTCCAGAGAGTTGCATTTTTGCAACGTTCATAGTCTGGTCTTCAATCGTTAACCGCTATATCTCTGTTCCTTGTTCAGTTAAAAGAAACAAAGCCTTGTGGAAAAACCCGGAGACAATGTACAGCATTGTTTAAAATTCTCTTCATCAACAAGGACGAATTTGTGAATAAATATAATTCAATAAATCTCTATGCAACTATAATAAAATCATTGTTTATATGACAGGTGTATATAAAATCCATTTTATGCAAATCCATAGGATATAGTCAAGCTTTTATTTGGAATAAAAATGCTTTGAAGGTTTTAACTTGTTATAGCTTTTACTAATTCAATGAGTTTCAGCTGGAGGGATCTTCAGGGGAGAGAGGGACGCCAAGGGAGAAGGGGGACAACACAGGGACTTTCATAATGAAGAAAAAAGAATGGACTATATAAATTAATTAACTAGGAATTTTAAAATAATCGTCTAGGAACCACGACCCTGGTGGAGACGGATAATATAAGAGGAGAATAAATAGGAGTGAATGTCGATGGTAGGGGAGGGGATCTGGGCCAACCAGCTCGCGTCTTTCAATATATAAATCTTCCATTTTCCTCAAAAAACGACACGGGAAACATAAGAATGATCGTCGTATTTAACTGTACACACGGACGAGCAATAATGAAATGAAAAGAACCAGCCATGATGGAAGTCGATGACGGCAGCCATTATAAGTGCATTTTAATTTAATCTCCCGCAGTTTAGGACAAGTCTCTTTCTTGCTTGAACTATGGTCGATGTGTTTACACGTACCATTCACGATACGATAAGCACCTGCGTCAAATACTTGGTTGCTTATTCGGCAGTTGAAATTGTAAAAATATGATTGACGATACCGCGACCAGTTCTCGATAACGAGAAGGTAAAGATTGGTTTTAGGCAAAGACGTGAAAAAGTAGTTGCCAATAGTGCAGGGGCCTGACGAATGTCCAGTAAAAACTTTATTGTCTAAAACAAACGATCTTTCTTTCAGAAAAAGGCGATAAAAAACAACTTGTGCCATACAGTAATAAAAAGTGTTCCATGCGGTAGCAAAATTTCGGCGATGCGGCAGCAAAACTTAGGCAATGCGGCAGCAAAATTTCGGCCATGCGCTATATTTCAAACCATAATTCTCAGGCATGATCTGATACTAACACTGGAACGTTGACGTGTTTTTTAGTTTTTAGCAAACAAGCTGGAAGTGTTCTCGTTCACTATTATTCGGCATTTTGAACGATCAGTAATACATTGTGTTCAACACAAACGCTAGGTAGTGATATCCGGGAATATTAGGAAAAAGGAAACAATTCTTACCTTCAAATAAAGCGGCGTATCCTACCACATCTTGAATACAACCATACTCGTTTTGGAATGGAGGAATGGGTCCCCTGTTCCGATAATATTCATCTTCTTCTTCTGGCGTTTGAATAATTCCTTTAAGGGTTACCTGAGAGACATAAGGGATAATAATGAACAAAAAGGCTAAATCGTGATAGTTACCAGTGAGACAATAGTGGATAATAGTGGACAAATTATGTCCTCAGTATTAAACTAGTGATTGCCTTCTATTCTTGCTACATTCAAATCTAATTTTATCCCTATGTGATCCACCTTTTCCCTTGCATATTCCAGTGATATCCTTCCATGATCCAGGCCCATAGAGATCCCATCAACTTTTTTACCAAAGTTCGTTGATATTGGTAATTATCACGCCACTTAAACCAACCAATAACAAACAGTTTGTGAGAAAACTGATTGTTATTGGTGGATATAACTGGGGTGAAGAGCCAATGAGGCAACAATCCAACATCATTCTGAGTTATTGTTGCAGTTGTATGTTTCCAGCAGAGAAACGTCCACAGTGAAAAAATAATGAATAATGAATCATCGTTGGTAATTTTTAAAGAATAAAAGATTACCTTCCATGATTAATTAAACATACCATATCAACTACGTTGGAAACATATTTCATCACAGATACGATTAGGCGCACATTCATTGCACGATAAGTTCTTTACACTCAAATATCAGCTCAGACGAACTAAATATACAATTTACTTGACAGAGCTTGTACTTACGAGCTCTCTCTATTAATAATGTCATGCTAGACAATGCATCTGTAAATATCTTGATGCCCGAGACAACCTCAGCTCTTGAGGCTTTTGCTGTCCTTTCTCCACACTTCTCGTAACGTGTGGTAAGATACCAAGTGGTTTCTCAGCGATGATGGAAGCCTTCAAGCAATCACGATAGTCTTTCTATGATCCAGCTGGGAATCCTGCATCATCTCTGCCATGAATGATCACTGCTAAGAACCGAACACACGGCTGCTCAGCAGTCATCATACATGGTCGCATTAAGATGATGTACCATCGCATCTCTTGTCTTTCATTTTTACTCCAATTCTTTACCGCATTTACATCAACTGTCATCATTTGGATCCCTGATACTACCTAAACCATATCATCCCTAATCCTCTTAATCTTGGTTTCAAGCTATTATCCAAATCATCTCTAATTTTCTTAATCTTGGTTTCGAGTCATTATCCTAAATCGTATCTCAACCCTAATCCTCTTAATCCCTATCACACACGCTAACCACAAGATTAACAGTCCCAACCTGATTTCATTATAAGACTATTGAAAGTTGACCTCAAACATACCTTGGGGAAATATGGTGAGACACTACAGATTCCCTGGTAATCAAAGCGATGAGTTTGTTCATAAACATTCTGTTCCTGAACAAGTTGTTTCATTATGTCGCCTTCTTTACGTCCAAGTGAGACCCTCTGGTACTCTCGCTCGTCTGTGATATTAGCTTCAAGAAAGTCTGGATCGGTGACCAAGTTTGCAGCATTGTCAACCAAGTAGCATCTTAAGAGAAAACAGGGATAGTTGAAGATCTAACGTACATAGTAATGTGAGTTACCACTGAAGTTGGAATCATGGGTGAACGATGAATGAACGAAGCACTCCTGTGCACCGCTAGAAAGCAGTTTAAAATAACATTTTGGACTGAAAGTATTCTAGATAGTTAATTCAGAAAGCCGCCTACCTTGTTTCACACTGATGTACTCCATCAGGACATAGATACGTCTCGCCGCACGCTTTCTCACCTCCACTTCGTCTCAAGCGTTCATAAATGCTCTCGTGAAAATCACGATATTTAATATCAAGAGCGACGACGGCCTCCACTCTGTCTCCAGTGCACGTTGCATTGCGACAATAGCGAGATAAACATTCGTCGTGGCTGAGGGAAAATTAAATCGTTCACTTAATAATTCTAGATTCAATGCAAACTTCAGTTCGAACACATATTTCCATTCTAATTGCCGCTATTCCGATTCTAATTTTATTCCAATCTAATTGCCATTTCAATCAATAGTTCTAATTCTGATTCCAACCCTTTGTCTCACCTGGAGCAAGAACAACCGCCATGTTTAGTGGTTCGACTGCAATCGACATTTGACTCGGTCTTTTCAAAGACGGCCTGAGATATTGTGATCACTTTGCCAATACCATTCAGATCCATGTAGGCATTCGATACAGAGGTTTTGGAGGGATTAACAATAGTTCTGTGATACCATGGACGTCTACACAATTAGATACAATGATGATATATTGATACACAATGATATCTATTGATATACAATGATATATGTGATATATAATGATACACAATGTAATATATAGATACACAGTGATAGATATTATATGAGGATATATATTGATATACAATGATATATATGATATGTGTTGATACCCAATGATATATACGGATATACAAGGATATATATTGATATACATCGAAATAAAAAAGCGAAACACTACTTACCTCGTAGGATCGAAATTTTTCGGCGAACGATGTCCAGGGTAGCTTCTAAACGCACCTCGCGTTGTGGCGACATATGTCCAGCGAACGTCCTTCAAAATAGTTCGATTCCTCGCCTTCCACGCGGTCTCAATAGGAGCAGTGATGAGTACATCTGACCTTTGACGAAAATGAAAACATAATTACTCTTGTATACAAATATGATATGAGTAATATTTCAAATAAAGAAATTAGAGAAATTACTATTAGAGAAACTAGGTTTCGAGAAGTGCTGTCTCAAAGTTAGTCTGCAAATATCGTGTAGTCCTTACCTCACGCTTCCAGGCAGCAGAGTACCAGAGACATTACATTCTGAAGAGTTTTTTAAATCGTTTATAAGTTTATGGATATCCACTGTGAGCTGCGAGGAGTTGTCATTGAATAAGTATTTATTTGGATTGCAATATGCTCTTGGGGCGATGAACACGGACGAGTGATTGCGAGAAATGTACAGCTCAGGGTAATCCTCAACGTTGAATTGCAAGTCCAAGATTTCAAACACAGGACCAAGTTCCTGAAGAGAAAATACGACATGATTAACGTGACCTCGCTATTCACTTTTACGTCGTAATCTCTTCGACATGCACGACACGGTCACGACACATTACGACACATCACGACACATTACGACACATCACGACCATACAAGGATTGAAGTGATATACTACAACGCACAGTTACTAATTGCTATCAAATGTTCATTGTATCAGGATAAAAATATATCCTATATCTATAGGTACATACTTCATACCTTGCGTACATAACTATCATTATATGACTTCATGTATCCATAAAAATTCTTCGGCAAACTTCCGACAGCCTGACCAGGCCTATCAGGTCGTCTATACTTCAGATCTGAATCGGTGAAACTGAACGCAAAGGAATAACTGGAGTCTGGCACCCCAGTATAGAAGTATGTGACTGGCGTTTTGATATACTTAAGGCCATCCTGGAAGTCTCCTTTGGGAAGCGCTCTGTCGGCGTTTTCGATTCGTTTTGATCCCGTTTTTCCCTTCTTCATTTCTTTAATAACTTCAGTAAAATCTTTCATTCCATCTCCACCCGGTTTCTCTAATTCCTTGATATCAACAAATATTGGATCATCCACCAGCTAGAAAAACAGCAACAATAATCACGTTACTCATGCATGAAGACCTGTTATTGAACCAAGTTACTCATGAAAACCAGTTATTCAGATTGATTTGCAGTTGATCAAGACAGTATTCCATATACAGTAGCAATGAATCCAACTGCATCTTCATCAGTATTTTTCCTGCAGCCGGTGTGAGGCTCACCTGTGTACTAGGTCGTAACAAAGGGTGAAAGATTGTCTCTCCTTCATTATTGATGAGAAATGCATACGCCGAGCCCCAGGTGTAGCGAGTCAAAATATTTTCAATTTCTTCCAAGGTAACATCGATGCCAATCACACCAAGTGTTCTAAAAATCGGGAATACTCTGTTAATAAATAACTTTCCCTGATTAGTACTTCTTCGAGTGTTCTTCCATTAAATGAAATGACAACTAAAGGACAACAAGAGGACAACCAAAAGGACAACTAAAGGGCAACAAAAAAAAACTAAAGGACAAGTAAAGGACAACTATAGGGTAACAAAAGAATTGACTAGTATTACATGATATACCTGTTAGTGACAACTGGTATGGCGGCTGTTACCATCAATCCCAATCCTAGAGCATCTAGGTACGGTGGACTCCAAGTGATGTTTGCTGTAGACTGAGTATTAGCTGTGAGGAAATCATAGTAATCCTGCATTTGACTGATGAGGTTTGTACTTTCAACAATCTTCTTCATAAAGCCTCGATTATCACATGCTAGTTTCCCAGGAAACTCTTCTCCATCATCCACCACAAGATATGAAAATATTCGTGTCTATTGAAAACATTGGAAAAATAGTTTCTTTTTAATCTAAAACACTGCATGAATACAAAATATGTACCTTTTTGTAAAACTTTGTAGTTTTTAATACAGTCATGGCTCTAAGCCTCAAAATATTATCCCATGGTAGAATGGTGTTATGGATGATATATGATAATTGTGTTATTGTAAATTATCTTACCCCACGTGTATTCCATAATTTCACATTGTCCCAAACCACATCCCAATCATACTGGCACTTTTTCCCTGGGACATAACCACTTCGAGTATAGTATCCTTTTTCACAACGTACTTTGTCTCCGTCTGTGTCCTGACCATCTGTGATGAAGATTATGAATGACTGGCATCTGGTTCCTGTGTTACCTGTCAGCAGGTCGAAAGATTTTTCAAAAGCATTTCTAAGAAATCAAAACCAAATTTATGAGTTAAAAATGTGTGGTATCTACCAATAACATAATGGAATTGAATATTGCATAGAAAGTAGAAACACACTCACTTTAATTTAGTTGCTCCAGCAGCTTTTAACTCCTTGATTTTAGCTATAAGATCTTTTCTATGTGATGTTGAAGCAGGTACAAGACGATTTTGCTGACAGCTTAGGACATTTGTTTGAACATCTTCGTGAATAAACCTTGAAAGGTATTAAAGAAATGTTAGGCAGTTCACTTATCATTAACTCTGCCATGAATCTGACCTGTCTAACCCAGGTTAAAAAAAGCAAACAAAAAACTTACTTTCCCACTTCATCATAGTAAGGTTCTCGACCACAGATCACGTTTACATAATCTTGTTTTGTCAAGGTATTGAGAACAGTGATCGCAATAGACTTGGCCATATTAAATTTCTTTCCAGACATCGAATGGCTGCAGTCTAACACAATGACCACGTCCTTTGGTCCAGAAGTGGCTGCTATGTACCATGGTCGCACCCGGGGGTCATAGTCTTCGTAAAACCCTGCAAAATTTGTCTGCCATTCTCGTCCGGGATACATACGGTATAAACCGTTGTTTGAGCCAAAATACTGCCATCTGAGAGAAGATGGAGGAAGGATTCAGTTTGATATTGAATGGCATATAACCAGGGGGCATTCTGGCAACATCTTCAAACAACTTTGCATCAAATGTGGTATAAGAACTGTCCAAAATAGACAAATGGCCTTTGCAGAGTCAATCAAGTTTCATATCACAAAAGCTGTTCCTCGGATTTACATCATTTTGAGAAAGGTCTATGTATTGATGGTATATAATTCTGGCAATCAGATGCATCACAAGTACTCTTGATTACCTGAGATCAGAATCATTGCCTAAATTCTGAACAAAAATCTTGTCCAACCCTGAACTCCAGGCAATTGTATTGATTACTTCAGCATTATCTCTTGGTGTTTGGTCAGAGATCTTCACTGAACTCTGCTTCAAGCTTATCGTTTGTTTAAACAAACTGAAGAGAAAAAAATTTTGCCCTCAAATTCTTTATTATTTATAGAAGAATACATTCAGGCTGGGAGTTAATCTCAAAGATATGGTTCAAACCATTCATACTTACGTGTTATATTTTGGTGAAATAACTGGATTGTAATTTTGCAAGTCTGCATCAGAATATACATCACTGGGCAGGTCTCGGACTGACTTGATATCTTCCAAGACAGTCTTGTTTACAGATGCAATGAGCTTTGCAGTCTCTGCAGCCAATGTCTACAATTGCAAGTCTTTTATTAGATATGAAATGTAACTTGCAGTTTTATTATTATTATTGTCTTTATTAGGGACATTTATCGAGGAACATTTTGCATCTAACACAAGGTGCAAAGCAGCTCAAAGAACCGTGCAAGGCACCTTTCCAAAACCTATGTGAATATTGCTTTTTCAATATAGTATATTGCACTGTAACATTCTTAGGGATCGCCACATCTAATGATTTTAAGTCTTTAATAGTTGGGTTTCATCGGTGAATAAACACAAGCAGTATTTTATTTCAGTTCTGTCATGAGTCATGACATATCAAATGGTCATTCAAGCGCTGGTTTTGCAATTGTCACACCCCATTAATGTATCCTTCCCTCACAATCACACTGTCACACAGGGGAATGTCATAAAATGTACGGTACTTTTTCATGAGAATACAGTACTTTGCAGTTAAAAAGTGTTTCAGACTAGAAATTAGCATTGTAAGAAAGAATTTTGCATGTAAAACCAATACAGCCAAAAGGCAAGTGCAGATGATCTCGGAGCTCGTGACTAGCGTGTCAAAAGGACGTATCTTGCATTTACCATTTACATAGCAATGCCAGCTACGTCCTTTTAAATAAATCAACTCGCTATCGTACTATCGGATCATTTATTATAAAAACAAGACAATTGCAATATCTCGCAATTGCCATTATTATTATTATAAAAGTAAAAAAAACAACATGCATTCAGTTTAACCAAGCTTCGCCACGCCACGCCACAAATGAATACACCGCTTCATATAAAAGCGACGCTAATACAACTCGCCTTGAACATACCTTTGCTGCTTTCTCCTTCTTTGAAAAATAACCTCCAAGCTTTTCTTTGACGGCTTCGACCGTTCTTTTGCCATCCCTCTGCTCAGCAACATAGCTCGCTTCGTCGTAAAGTCTCTGTAATTCCTTTGTACGCAGCCCTTCCTTCGCTAATTCTACTAAATAATCCTCAACTTTTGAGGCCCAATCCCTGACGGTCTCCTTCGTCAAGTGGTCTGTGTGTACAATGCATACCAAGTACAGAAATATCGTTGTTTTTTCAAGCATGAATGCGTTTGAACGTGCACCAAAGGTCAGCCGCAAAATGCACTAGGTACGTACGCGAATTACTGTCGAAAATACCTCCTTTTACGGCGAGAATACCTCTCCTTTGAAGCCAGAAGATTTCCAATGCAGTGGTTAATGTTTTGCGTCGAATAAAACGGTATCTTTAGCCGCGTTGCAGCGTAAAAACTCGATAAAACGCAGCATAAATCTCTGCAAAAACTCCGGTATCAAGTTCGGTATGGAGCATGAATTACCAGTGAATAAATTACAAATTCCAACACAGCTGCCCCAGGAATCTTTATTTAGAAATATAACTTCATTTATAATTCATAGGTAAAAAATTATCTATTTAATATAGTTTCATATAGTACAACCAATATAATTTAGAGCTTAATAAAACGCAACAAAAACTCCTTCTCGACTATTTTCGAACAACACGAGCCAGCGTGTATGTAAGAAATCTGGTGATTTATAAAAATATTATAAATTTATGTATCTTCTCTTTTTCCTGGATAAAACCGCCCCTGTCGATTTGAAAAACGGGCGCTGTACGACGGAGAATGAAGAGCACGGCTCCTGAACGAGATTGACGCGAATTCTTATGAAACCCTGATTCATCTAACCTTGCGATAGTAATGTCGGGCTGTGTATGCGACCAGTGGATGTCTTTGGAAACATGACGGCCAATTCACGTCTGTTGCACAAGAAAAATAGGTTACTATCTTTAGGTAAAGAACTAAAAAATCTGTCAAAGAACAAGAGGGAACAGAGGAATAGCAAATGAACTAACAATCCCACTTTCACCACTCTTCCTTAAAACAGAGCCCTGAAGCAAGCCTACATTTTAAAGCTACGAAGTGACGACTGTTCGTCCAAATACTCACTTCAACATACGAGGAAGAAGCTCGTTGTATAACTTGTGTTTAACAACAGCGAGTTTACATAACGTCTTTAGAGTTGGATCTGGAAGAAAATATATTTCGTTAGGGTTTTTACCAAACAACAACTTATAAATGTAAAACCGATCAGTTTTGCACTCACTGAGATCTAGAACATATAAATCATTATGATCTTGAAGACTGTTCTCCTCTTCGCCTTGGGCGCCTTGCCCATGAAACGGACTAAAAATTGAAGAGAAAAATTTAAAGAGTTTCCATGATCTCGGGACACTGAAACTACTTCTGTTAAAACAAAGTAATATGTCCTTCTATATAGAAATACTCTGTCCTGAATACAACCACAACTGTCTGCCATATCATAGGCAGTTGAAGGTTCCGTACCTTGATCCGCCGAAGATGACAGCTTTTCCTCCAACCAAACAACAACAGTGTCTTCTTCGTGGACAAGGATATTTGCCGGGAACGACAACTTTGCTCCATTGTCTTGCATCTATGCAAATGAAAATCAGTCATTTGAAGTTCTTCGACCTTCGTACTTCTCAAACGCAAATCATGATCCACTACCTGTGTCAAATTTAAGTATATCACCATAATGTTGTTGTTCCAAGCCATTATAACCACCAAATATATAAATACAGCGGCCATACGACACTAAAATGATAAGTAGAGATACCGTTTACATCTTCATCTAAAAACGAACAGTGCCCAAGTGATTGTACGAAACCAGGTTTCATCTTGAATGGTGGCTCTTGATATGAAAGGTAAAACTAGCCCCAGATGAGCAAACATTCGTAACAGCAAATTTCGACGCGGGTACAAGGCAAATGTAAGAGTAAACAGAAGATTAGAATCCAGTTTTGCCATCGCGGATGTTATACTGGAAGGATTACTTGTCTTACCAGCAGTATGACTCCGACGTCCTATGGGTGACAATCCTTTTGTTACAAGCCATTGCCAAGTGTATGTTTCTACAAAAAAGCAGCCAAGAATTATTAGATGAAAACGATGACAATACGATGAAATATCAGGGCTATATTATACCTGTGTCAAACACGATTATTTGATTATCATATATTTCCTGATTTGAATGAATTTCACCAAGTACATCTCCTGTATCAAGATATAACAAAATATCATTTAGCCGTTACCTAAAGGTTAAACCTCCTATATAAGGCTATATTAGGCTATAACATATCACTTCCCATGAGAACTCTGTCTCATGCAGTAAACAATTCATTACACAGGTTATATCTTCATCATACCTCGCCCGCCGAAGATGTACATGTATTTTCCAACAGCCGTTGCAGTGTGAAAATCTCGCCAGCTTGCTGGTTCGCCCTGAAAACAGACCGTTCATTCTGAATTATGCAAACGAATAGTTGGCGAAGACTGAAGCACTTTGCTGATGATAGAACTGAAGAGTTACCTTAAAAATATTTGTACTTAATCAACATTACTTACGAAAACATGAGGGTGTGTCCATTTCATTGTCTTTACATCCAGAACGTACACATCTTTCGAGAAACATTCCGACTAAAAAAATAAATTATTTGTAAGCCAATAGTAAAATATGTAGTTTTAGGCGTGATCCCATAATTCCGCAATCAGTTTGATCTCTTTAGTATCACGCTGATGAACAAGGTAACTGGCGAGGTGACCGGTCCAATAAAACTTGGAGAATTGCAATTTAGATGGTGTTATCTTGCAACAAACAACCCGTACCTGAAGATGGTATCCTCCCTGAAAATTGGAAAACCGGAGAAATTAGGATAGGAATGAGAGAAAAAAAGACGCTTTCTAAGGCAATGAATTTCTGTGTCATAAATGATCTTGATCTGAAAGAACTTCAGATATTGAATCTATCTATAAGTACAATTTGAAGTCTTGCATTTTCACTTTTAACATTCTCCATCAATTATGTAATGTATCCATTCAATGCGAGATATTGCAATGACTGAGAATATCTTCTGCTCTACAGATTAATTACTATACATCATATCATTGACCAATATGTTTCCCACTGATCTTTGTGGCTGGAATTCATGTTAAATTAGGATCCTTCATTTCCATCACATCAGTATCACATCCAATCATGAGAATTGCATTTGAACTTCAATTAATGATACCATAGGCTCATAGCCACCACAAAGATTTCAGGAGATTAAGATTTTCAATTCAATTATTGAATCGGAATCAATAGTTGCACTTGTATGCTTGAATGACATATATATGTCATTGTCAATGAATAGCATGTCTGAGAGTATATATATCTGAGTTGATATCCAATACAATTATCCAACATGTTGTAGCTTGTATTGCTTTGAAGTGTCATATCCTTCTCATTACAACTTCAATGTCCTTCATTGTTAAATTATATTTACTTCTAATCAACTGGAATATACTGCATGACTGCACATGAATTCTGATACATCAGCCTTCTTTCTCAAAGAAGTAGTAATCAGTGTTATTGTTAGTGTGAATGCAGCCTCCCATTCTCTTTGATCATAAACTAATCCAGCCATTAATATTCTGGCAAAGATTGCATGTATTTAAGCTAGACAAGAAGAGGTTATGCTGCAATCATATGTTTTTTATTCCTTGGTGGTAATGGACGTCATTGTAATAAGTGTTACCTAAACATTATGAAAAACTGGTTTCAATATCTTACCCTTTCTTCAAATCCTCCAAAGAGATAAATCTTCTCACCAATAACACAGGCTGAATGACCATCGCATGCAGGGGGGATGCTACCACTAACCTCCGGAGTTGACCATCTGAATGTAGCTGTTTGAAAATGATGCACAATGAGTATAAAATTGGGGAATAAAGGAGCAAAATAGTTGATTATCACAGGGGGTTATTAGCCAGGTAAATGGAAGACAAAGAAATATACTAAAGATGCTATATATCTCTGAGATGTCAGCTTAATAATGAGCTTCAAAGAAGCAATGGCACTGCCAATGGGTCACAACTTACTTGTATCAAAACAAAACAATGTGTTGCAAGCTACATATCGATTATTGCAACCACCAAATATATAAATCTTGTCACCAATCACAGATGCTGTATGACCATATCTCATAAATGGTACAAAGTCATAATCATCATCCTCAATGGTGGGAGTTTTTAATTTGGTCCATTTCAGCAAGTCTGCAGAAAATGATAAAATAGCAATAATTAAGTCAAATATGTAACAAATATGTAACAAATATGTAACAAATATTTAACAAATATGTAACACTGCTGACTAACTTATAAACTTGCGACTAATTTTATTCGACAAATTTGTAGAATATGTATCAATTAGGTAAACAACAAGTAAAAATAAAAACATTAGGTACTCACCAAGATCGAAGATATGAACGTCCATTTTTTCCAAGCTTGAGTACTCGTCTCCAGAATAAAATCCTCCAAAACTAAAGACATATCGATCCTGTACAGAAACCGCAGCATGATTCACTCGGCGAGGGCCGTCCTCAGCTTCTAATGTCCACTGCATTACTGTGACTGCTACAACGGGGTCGTGGACAGTTACGGGAGAATGGACCTTCCTCTACACTGCTCTCTATGTTTATACTTTTCCCTGCAGGTTTCAAAGTTCATTTACGGGAAAAACCATGCCCACAATGCGGCGAGTTTGGAAATTTTACAGTCCCCTTGGGAAGTTCCAGTCCCGCAGAACAATGGGACCGTAATTAATGTTGCAAATTACGTTTTTCTAGCTCGTTAGAACGACGCATTAGAGTTTCTAAATCGAAATTTTCTTAATGTAAAGAAAGTGTATACGTGTATGCACTAGAAATCGTATTTTTCCTGAGGTGATTTGTATGAAGCTTGGGTAAATACCTTTCAAAACACGTGCGGGGATTTTCCCAAGGGGAGTGTGCACATGTGAACGCGTGCATTATGGCATTAGTATTTCCCAATAGCCCTTTGTTTCGTCAGAATATCACAAGTACCCCTTAACGGGACCATGCACACGACATTATGGAGCCAAGGAAGATATTCTCAACAGTTGATATTCTAGTGCAAAATTCACATCATCTTTCAACCTTATCCAACCAAATGTTCCAGCCTTCCAGATGAGAGATCAGACAGGTCGTCTTTCCACAACCGATTCGCTTCAGTTCAATAGGAGGTGGAGCAAGAATAGAGCCGAGAATAGATTTGTTTTCATTGATTCATTCTTATGGCAGATATGGTATGATGGTCCTATCTGATCAAATAACACCTTAATAACTTTCCTTCATCATTCTCGCCGTTTCTCCATCCTGCGTCTGTGAGGAAACCAAACCCGGACAACTTAAGTCTAAACACATACGCAATGTCT